TATCTATCTATCTATCTATCTATCTATCTATCTATCTATCTATCTATCTATCTATTTATTTATTTTTGGATCCAGTATTTCTTTTTGCCCTGCTTTCTCTTGCAATCTCCTCTTTTTATTAAAATTATTCCAAAACTTTTCAGTTTAGCCTCAGGCAGATTCATAGGACATGACCAAGAAACAGCTACATTCTTTGCCAAAATATCACAAAAATAGTCTCTAACCTAGTTGCTAATATTGTTCCATGTAGTGCTCGTTTTTAAACTGTATTTTATTTGGGGTTCCTTAAAGCCTTACCTCCCAACCCCCCAACCCTAGGTATGAGAGAGAAGGTTAGTCTGTCTCTGGTCTCTTCAAACTGCCACTTGCCACACGCCACCACTGTATGCCACTTTCTCTGGGCTCTCTATGTATATCCTCAGAGCCCTAGGCCACGCCCTTCTCAGTGCTGCTTGAGGCAGGCCAATACCAGCTGTCAAAGGCCACACTCCACATGAGACAATTATCAGCTGTGCATAAACTAAAGCACAACTAAAATCCTACACTTGGGATTAAGAGAAAAACATATTTACATAACATAACCGAGGTCACAAAGAACACAAAACTTATTACAGTTACATCTGAAACCTCTTGAGTTGGGCCTCCATAGTCCACATTGCTTTCAGCACTTTGTCTTCCAAGCTCCTACTAGGATGACCTGTTGAGTCCCATTTACAGCATTCAGCTGCTTTTCTAGTTCAAAGTTCCAGTGTCTTCCACATTCCTCCAAAGGTAGTATGGCAGGCCTATTCAGCACTACCTCAGTCCTGGTGCCAGCTTCTGCCTCAGGTACTTTTCTGTTGTTGAGACACCAAGGCCACTTATAAAGCACTTAATTGGGGGCTTGGTTACAGTTTCAGAGGATGAATCCATACTGTCATGGCAGGGAGCATGGTGGCACGCAGACAGGCGAGGCACTGAAGTGGTAACTATGGGCTTACATGTTGAGACAACAGCCAGAGGTGTCAAGATCACAGTAACTAAAAGATGTCAGGTTTTACTCTGGCTATGTGTCTAACAGATTTCAGTTTATTCATAGGATTGTGCAGTCTGTGAGAATTTTCAAGAGTTTTTATCTTTAAATGGACACCTTCTTGGACGACAGCCATTTCCTAATATTGTCCAGTTGGGCCTCTGTGAACCAGAAACTTCCGAAGTTTATCAACAAGCAAAGCTTCGGGCCAAGCAGGAGGTGGACACTGGGCAGCTCTACCTGGAATGGATGTGAGTTGCTGGAGAGACCAGAGGGGCTCCATGATTAACTGTTTGTTTCCAGGTGATGAGTAAACTCACTCCATGAGATTTAACTACAGAAACTTAAGTATTCCTATTCAGTGCAGAGTTCCAGAGAAGGAAGCACAGGAGAAAATAATTGTATTGTCAGAGTCCATAGAAACAGATAGGTCATCGTAAATATTAATATCAAATGCTACTATAATCTAGTAAGGCAGTGATGATCATAGACTTGGGGCCACAGACCTGGGTGTGAGTCTCCACACTAAAACTTCATTGTTTTATGATTGTTGAACATACTATACTTTCTCATGTGTGAAATGGAGATAATAATCCTTTGAGGTAAATTTAAATGAGATAATGTCTATGAAGTCATTTTTACTTTGCCTTGCCATAGAGATTTTCTGAAAATTTTAAAAGCATTTTTACTGTCTTTTTTGTCTTTTCATATTTATATGTGTATGGTGTGCATCTCTGTGGGTATGCATGTTTGTAAGTATGTGTTCATGGTGCATGCATGTGTGGGCATGTGGATGTGGAAGCCCTAGGTTAATGTCAGAAATTACCTGTGATAGTTCTTCCTTCTGATTCTTTAAGGCAGGGTCTCTCAGTCAAAGCAAGGCTTCTTAATATGGTTGATCTTGTTGGCCAGCTTGCTCTGGAAAATCTCCTGTATGTCTCTGCCTTCTGAGGCATGAGTTATAGGTGAGCTGCCATGCCTGCCTAGCATTAGATTGTGCTCTAGGGATCCAAAGTCCTCTCATCTTGCAGCTGAGACATATCCCCCAGCCTGATCCTTTGTGTTTTTCTTAAAAGATGTGTTATTTATTTCCGTTCATATATAGTGTTTGTCTGATTAAGTTTATGTGCACCACATGCATGGAGGTGCCCGGAGAGGTCAGAGAGCATCGGGTCCTCGTACAGGTGGTTGTAAGCTCTCTGATGTGGGTGCAGACAGTCAAACCTGAGCCCTCTGCAAGAGTAGAGTGTGCTCTAGTAGTGAGTGCTCTTAATTGCTGACTCATCTCTCCAGCTCCAATTCTTCTAGATCTTAAAAAAAAGCTGTTCACAGGGCAGGAGAGATGGCTCAGTCTTTAAAATCACGTTTACTTACTTTCTTGGTGTCTGTGTGTTTGTGTATGTATGTTTCTGAGTGTAGGTGAATGTGCAGCAGAGCACCTGTGGAGGTCAGAGCACAGCCTGTAGAAATCGGTTTCCTCTTCTGCTCTGTGGGTGCTAGGCCTTGAAGTCAGGTTGTCATCAGGCTTGGATGTAAGTACCATTACCTGTTGAGCCCTCTTGCCATCCCGTAACATGTTTCTTGATTAAAACAACAAATTGAAGAGCTCAGGGGCTAAGAGTACTTACTGCTCTTGTCGAAGACCATAGTTCAATTTTTAGTGAGTGGCTTAGAATTCCCCATGACTTTCTAGCATCGGGGGGTTTGATGTCTTTGGCCTTCATGGGCACAGCACTCACATGTGCATACCCACCTATAGACTCACATGTGATTAAGTTTTCTTATTTAAAAAACTGAGGGATGTAAAATGAAAATTCATACTTCCTATTATCCCTTTCCTAGACTCAACCATCTTTTAGCATTTTCTTCAAAAGTGAAGTTTTCCTTCCACTAAGGCAAAGTGAAAGTTTACTTCCATTCAGCGTAGCAGCCTTTCTAACCTGTGGAAGCTCCATTAGATCTGTTGATGTTGTGCAATACTCCCTGTTTTTTCTCTTACCGCTTCTCAGCCTTTATTGTGTTTTCTTTTTTACTTACTTTTCTTCTGTTCATCTAGTCTGCTCTGCAGAATAGTTTGGAGATTAGACTGTTGCCTGGGCTTGAATTCCAGCTCTCAGTTAGAGTTGTGTATTATTTGGAAAAATTACTCAACTTATCTTGTCTAATCATACTAATTCATAGCATGGTCATAGCATAGCATACTGAGGATTAGAGGGCTTTGTGTATATATACCTATTTGCATATCCAATTCACAGAAAGTGCTCGGTAAATGTTAGCTGTTGTTACTAGGGAGAATATTTAACCTTTGCCTGCTTCTTATCATTGGTATTCAATAGCAATTTTTGGAAGTTTGAATAAACTTCTGTCTAGTGATGAAATCCTTTTAAAAATGTGTTTGTGGTGTTTATGGATGCATGTTCAGATGTGTGTATGCTGTTTGCACCTGTGTTGGGTGTGTGTGTCAATTTGTGTGTCTGTATGTGTGTATGTGTAGGAGGCCTGAGGTGTCTCCACCTTACCTATTGAGATGGGTCTCTGAGTCGATCTCAGAGCTGGTCAGTAGGGCTAGCTCTAAAGGAACCCCTGCCTTCAGCTTGCCTCCTCTGAGTGCAGGACCTGAACTTTGTGCTGGTGTGTTAAGTACTTTAACACTTTAACAGCAGAGCCATGTTTCCAGCTCTTAAATGGATTTTTAACACGTGATCTGATCAAATAAATGGTCAGAGATTCAGTTCTTTCTTCTGTAGAAGTTATTGAGACATTACTGTTTTGCTGCCTTTCCCCATTCACCAGCTACATTCCAGCCTGTGACACTTCGTCATAGAAGGAGCACTCAGCCATAGCTGTGTTTTTCCTTACCCAGCTTGGACCAGATCATACTCAAAGAATGCTTTATTTCAGTGCTAGAATCCTTCCCTTTTAGAAGTACAAAGGTTTACATTGATATAAGCTTAAATTTGAGTTTAAATTTTCAAAGAAGTAATTTGTTCACTCATCCATTTGTTATCTTTTTACTCTGTGTCTGTCACTGAGAAGATCACTGTCTTTGCTTTGAGGAATTTGAGTAGATGGTCAAAGGAAAGACATATTTAGAGACTCTCTAGATGTCCAGGCTGGGCTTGAACACTGGGTCCTTCTAGAGTAGGCTCCAAGATATCTGAGCTTCCAACTGCGTTCAGTTGGAAAGATTGCATTCTTAACTTTGTAAGTAACTGATATGTCCTTATGGGTTGTCATAATTTAATTCCTGTATTTTACTTACTTATCACTTCTGCTGAAGTATAGTTGTTTCCACACAGGCTCGTAAGCTGGCTTTTCTCTGACACTAGGTCCTGTTTTAAGTGAACATGCACTCATCTCTCTTGAGCCTGAGGGCAGTAATACAATGTTTTTAGTAGTAGCATAGTTGGCATTCTGTAGAGTTAAGACAGAAAGAAAATGACATTGCTATTTCTGTCCCCACCTATCCCTCACCCCCATTCTGAGTAGAGTTAGAGGAAAACATTTTTTAAAAATTTATTTATTATGTATACAGTATTCAGTCTGCATGTACACCTGAACACCAGAAGAGGGCACCAGATTTCATTATAGATGGTTATGAGTCACCCTGTGGTTGCTGGGAATTGAACTCAGGACCTTTGGAAGCGCAGCCAGTGCTCTTAACCTCTGAGCCATCTCTCCAGCCCTAGAGGAAACATTTTTAAAGTATATCATAATTGTGGGTGCAGTATCATATGTAGTGTGAGCTTCATTTTGCAATAGTTTCTTTAATTTTAAAGTAGTGTTTTTAAAAAGATATGCTTACATATTTTATATTAATATATCAAAAGAAAATAAAGGGGTTTGAGGGATAGCTCAGTGGCTAAGAGCTCTTGCTGCAAGGGACTTGGTTTAGTTCCTAGCACTGACATGGTGGTAACTGTAACTCCAGTTCCAGGGTACATGATGCCATTTTTGACCTTTGTGGTCACTGCATGTACATGGTGCTCTTATATACATGCAGGCAAAACGCATAAAATGAAAATATATTTTTTTAAACAGGTAAAATAGAAGGTGGCATGGGTCTGATTAAGTTGATTTCTCTTAACTCAGTGACAGTTGTAACATGCCAGGTGGCTTGCTGTAAGATAACATTTCTCTTAAAAATGTCATTTTTGTTGGGTTACTCTTTTTCTTTAGGTGTTGTATATTGTTATTTGCATGTTAAGTAATTCAAGAAGTTTTCTATTTGGGAGAACTAGAACAATGTTAAAAGACACTTATTGAAAGAAAATGTTACTTTTATTCTCATTCATTGAATTTCTTTCCATCTTTTACTGTATTTAGAAACAAAAAAACTATCAAGAATCTCTCCCGCCTAGTTGTCCGCCCCCATACAGATGCTGTTTACCACGCATGTTTTTCTCAGGATGGTCAGAGAATAGCTTCTTGTGGAGCTGATAAAACCTTACAGGTAAGGCGTATCTCTTGGAAAAAACTGGAAGAAGCCTGTGGCCTACTTGTGCAGATTAGAATATTTTTAAATACTAAAATTTAGAAAAATGGCACCTTAGAAGATAAGAAATGTAAATCTCTTGAACACTTGTAGAAGCTTCTTTAGGATCTTAAAGATGGAGCTGTTTTTAGTACTTCCAGACTTGCCCTGAATGTTGAGGGGCTCTTTACCTTGGCAGTTACTATCCATCCATTTGCCAGTGAGCAATGAGAAAACGACAGTTCTTAACACAGGCTTGCAGGCTTTGTCAGCAAATAGAAAAGACGTTACTTTGTTTAACGTTGGTTAAACAAATTGTCAAAGACAGATTTCTGACTGAAAATGGGAATTAGACTAGATTGTTTCCAAAGACTTTGTTTTTGGAAAGTATGAATGAGTGCTTATTTCCCACATTTATTCTCTACCTGCATATTGAAGAAAATAGAATCTAATTAGTACAACTTTTTATATTTAGAATAAACTGCATCTTTCCAAGATCATAACTGTATACTCATTTCTGTAGTACTTGATTGCTAATTGTGTTAATGTTGGCTTAAAAAAAAATCCCCCAGTAATGCTAGGGATTTAGTGCAGGCTCTTGTGTATGTCGGCAAGCACTCAGCTACTAGACTATGTCTGCAGTCTTAATTTGGGTTTTTGACACCCAAAAGAAAGCATATTTGATTGGTTAGAATTTGTCAACATAATCCCAAAAAATGAAGCTTTATTTCACTACTTCCTTTTAATGATACTTAGTAACAGTTAACAATGGATACTTTTATGTTTATGCTTACACTTAGGAATTCTGACAAATTCAGGCTTTTTAGTTACTTTCTTAAGTTTCATTTTTGTTTTGAAAATAATGGTGATCAAAAATTTTCAGAAGCCAGGTGTGGTGGCACACGCCTTTAATTCTAGCACTCAGGGAAGCAGAGGCAGGTGAATCTCTGCGAGTTTGAGGCCAGCCTGGTCTATAAATTGAGTTCCAGGATAGCCAGGGCTGTTAAACAGAGAAACCTTATCTTGAAAAACCTAAAAAAAAAAAAAAAAAAAATAGAACTCTCCTGAGAGATATATTTTTGTTAAATGATGCCCTATAGATAAATGGTTTGCAGTAAAAAATAAAGTAAACCTTATTGTTGTTATGCAGGTGTTCAAAGCTGAGACAGGAGAGAAACTTCTTGACATCAAAGCTCACGACGATGAAGTGCTTTGCTGCGCGTTCTCTTCAGATGACAGTCACATAGCAACCTGCTCAGTGGATAAGAAAGTTAAGGTTGGTGCTGGAGCAGTGGCTTAGTGGTTAAGAGCAGCCACATGGCAGCTCAGAACCCCTGTAACTCCAATTCCGGGGATCTGACACACACCTTTGGCCTCTGTTGACAGTGTGTACCTGGTGCACATACATACTGTTGGGTAAAATACTCATATACATTAAATAAAAATTAAGGGGGAAACATTTTCCTCTTGAGTTGAAGTCACAGCAGTTCATTTTCTTTTCTGTAACAGAGGCAAGAATGAGTGGAGTCAAAGGACTCCTGCCTGGTGATCTACTGACTCGATGAATTATAAATTAGCACTATCTGGAAATTCTTATTTCTTTGCATTATTATTTTATAAAAGATTGTGTAGTCATATGTACATGTGTGTCTGTGCAAGTATAAATGGATTGCATGCAGAATCTAGAACAGGGTATTGGATCCTGTGGAGCTAGCCTTAATAGATGTTTATCAGCCTCCTAAAGTGGGTGCTGGGAATGAAACTTGTATCTTTTGGAGGAGTATTATGTACTCTTAACCATTAAGCCTAAGTCAGTCAATCTAAAAATCTATCTTTCTTTCATTCTTTTCTTCCTTCCTTTCTTCCTTCTTTCTTTTTTCTTTCCTTAATTATTATTTAAAGAATATTTCCCTTTTATAAAAAAGCTTTATTTTTGATACAGTATATCCTGATCAAAATTTCCTCTCCCTCTACTCCACTCACTTTTTTCCCACCTCTTCTTCCATCAGGATCCACTCCTTTACTGTTTCTTATTAGATAAGACCAGGCTTCTAAGAGATAACAAAACATAACAAAATAAAATATAAGATAAAAGAAAAACCATCACTTCAAAGTTAGACAAGGCAAACCAGCAGAAGGAAAAGAGCCCCAAGAGCAGGCATAAAATCAGATACCCATTCTTTGTTGTTGTTTGAGACAAGGTTTGGTTTTTCTGTGTAACAGCTCTGGCTGTTCTAGAACTGGCTCTGTAGACCAGGCTGGCCTTGAACTCACAAAGATCTGCCTGCCTCTGCCTCCTGAGTGCTGGGAGTAAAGGCATGTGTTACCACCACCTGACTTAAGAGACCCACTCTTTCACACACTCAGAAGTCCCATAAAAACACTAAACTGAAAGCTATAATATATATATGCAGAGGACCTGGTACAGACCTGTGTAGGCCCTGTGCTTGCTGGTTCAGTCTCTGTGAGTTCGTAGACGCTTTGCTCGGTTGATTTCGAGGGCTTTTTTCTCCTAGTGTCTTCCATCTTCTTTGGTTTCCCTGCTCTTTCCTCCTCTTCTTTTGTCGGCTTCCCTGAGGGATGATTTGACGGCGACATCTCATTTAGAGCTATGTGTTCCAAGGTCTCCCTTTGTGGGTCTTTATATTTGTTCCGATCTGCTGCAGGAGGAAGCCTCAAGAAGTATAGCAGAATATCATTTGGAGTCATTTTATTGTTCCTTTTTTTTTTTTTTTTTTTTTTAAGACTAGTAATATTTGGTTTTAACCTAGATTTCTGGGATATGTAGTCTCTGGTTATTGCTCAGCCAAGTATTGTCAGGTTCCAGCTCATGGAATGGGACTTAAGGCAAATCAGACATTGGTTGGTTATTCCGACAAACTTTGTGTCACCATATTTTGTGCCCTAGCATATTTTTCAGGTGGGATTGTAGATCAAAGTTTTTGTGGCTGGGTTGGTTTTTATGTTTCTCTTTTGGTAGCCTGCAGACTACCTTCATGTACCAAAGACACTAGAACATGGGTTCTGTATAGCACCAGCTTGACCTCTCCATGGTCAATGAGTTGTGTGGGTGCTGTCTTCAGCAGTGGGGCCTTGCTGTCAGACTGTGGAGAGACACCTGTTGTCTTTGCAACAGACTGGTTTATTTGGGGATTTCCATGGGATCTCTTTGGCCAACAGCTTGATTGGATATAACCAAGTTCTAGTATGGAAGAAAGTTTGGGCACGAGATGGCCATGTGGGACTCCATCTCTCTCATTACTGGAGACTTTATTAGGATCACCTTTATATGTTTTAGAAAGTTTTCATTGCACTAGGTTTTCATACCTCCCCTGAAGTGTTCCTTAATTCTGGCTGTCTCTCCCCGAATTCCATCCCTCAACCCTACCACCCTTACCCCATCTTTCCATTCCCAGCCCCCCTGGGCTACTCATAAAATCTATTCTATTTCTTCCTTCCCATGGAGATCCATGTGTCTCCCCTAGTCTCTTCTTCTATACCGAACCTCTCTAGGCCTATGTATTGTACCTTGGCTATAATTTACTTAATGGCTTATATCCACATATAAGCAAATACATACCTTATTTATCTTGCTAGATTTGGGTTATATCAGAATGATATTTTCTAGTTCCATTCATTTTCTTGAAAATTTCATGATGTCATTTTTTTTTTCAAAGAGCTGAGTAATACTCTTTTGTGTAAATTATCACTTTTTAAAAAAATTCCATTATTCTGTTGAGGGACATCTAGGTTTTCAGTTTTTGGATATTATGAATAGAACATCATTGAATATGGTTGTACAAGTGTCCTTTTGGTAGGATGGAACATTTTTGGGTATATGCTCAAGAGTGGTATAGCTGGATCTTGAGGTAGATCCATTCCCCAACTTCTGAGGAACCGCCACACTGATCTCTACCCACCAGCAATGGAGGAGTGTTCCTTCCCCTTGCTCCACATTCTCATCAGGATGAGCCATCACTTGTGTTATTGATCTTAGTCATTCTGACAGGTATAAAATGTAATCTAAAAGTAGTTTTGATTTGCATTTTCCTGAAGGATAAGGATGCCGAATATTTCTTTGTTTCTTAGCTATTTAAGTTTTCTCTTTTGGGAATCTTCTGTTTAGAACTGTACCCCATGTTAAAAATTGGATTATTTGTTTTTTTTGATATCTACTTTCTTGAGTTCTTTATTTCAGATATTAGATATTATATATTTAGATATTTATGTATTTAGATATTAGATATTGGCTATGGAGTTGGTAAAAATCTTTTCCCATTCTGTAAGCTGCTGTTTTGTCTGATTGACAGTGCCCTTTCCCTTATAGGAGCTTTTCAGTTTCATGAGGTCCCATTTAGTAATTGTTAGTCTTAGTGCTTGTGCTGTTGGTGTTGTGTTAATCTTCTCCTGTGCCAATGTGTTCAAGGCTATTCCCCACTTTCTCTTTTACCAGGTTCAGTGTATCTGGTTTTATGTTAAGGTCTTTGATCCATTTGGAGTTGTGCAGGTTGATAAGTATTAATCTTTGCATTTTTTTTAATATGCTGACATCCAGTTTAACCAGCACAGTTTGTTGAAGATTTTTTCCCCCCTTCCCTAGTGTGTCTTTTTGACTTCTTTATCAAACGTCAGGTGTCCATATATGTGTGTATTTATGTCCGGGCCTTCAGTTTGATTCCATTGATCAACATGTGTGTTTTTATGCCAATACCATACTGCTTTTATTACTATAGATTTGTAGTACAACTTGAAATTGGGGATTGTGGTATGGCCATCATTTCTTTCATCATTCAGGATGTTTTAGCTCTTCTTGGTTTTTTGTTTTTCCATATGAAGTTGAGAATTTTCCTTTCAAGGTCTGTAAAGAATTGTGTTGGAATTTTGGTGGAAATTACATTGAATCTGTAGATTAGTTTTGGTAAAATGGCCATTTTTATTATGTTAATCTTACCGATCAATCAACATAGGAGAACTTTCCATTTTCTCTTATCTTCAATTTTGTTCTTCAAAGACTTGAAGTTTTTATCATACATGTTTTTCACTTGCTTGAGTTACCCTGAGTTATATTATTTGAGGCTATAGTGAAGGGTATTGTTTTCCTGATTTCTTTCTCAGTCCATTTGTCATTTGTATCTGGGAAGACTACCAATTTTTTTGAAGTAATTTTGTATCCAGTTACTTTGCTGAAAATATTTATCAGCTGTAAGAGTTCACTGATAGAATTTTTAGGTCACTTATGTATACTGTCATATCATCTGTAAAAAGCAATACTTTGACTTTTTCTTTTCCAATTTGTATCCCCTTGTCTTATTGCTCTGCTAAGACTTCAAGTGCCATTTTGAATAGATATGGAGAGTTTTGTTCCTGATTTTAGTGGGATTGCTTTGAGTTTTCCTCTAGTCTCCATTTAATTTGATGTTGGCTATGGGCTTGCTGTAAACTGCCTTTATTATGTTGAGGAATGTCCCTTGTATTCCTAATCTCACCAGAACTTTTATCATGAAGGGGTGTTGGATTTCGTCAGAGTCTTTTCTGCATCAAATGAGATAAGCATATTTTTTCCAGTTTGTTTATATGGTGGATTACACTTATTGATTTTTGTATATTGAACTACCTCTGCATCTCTGGGATGGATAGTGACTATTTGATCATGGTAGGTGATATTTTTGATTTATTCTTAGATTCAGTTTGTAATTATTTTATTATTTTATTGAGTATTCTTGCATCTATATTCAAAAGGGAAATTAGTCTATAATTTTCCTTTGTTGTGTCTTTATGTGGTTTGGGTATCACGGTAACTAGGGATTCATGGAATGAATTGGGCAATGTTTTGTCTGTTTCTGTTTTGTGGAGCAATTTGAGGAGCATTGATGTTAACTGTTCTTGTGGTCAGTTTTGGAGAATGTTCTGTGAGGTACAGAGAAGAAGGGTATATTCTTTTGTGTTGGGGTGAAATGTTCTGTGAATTTCCTGTTAGGTCCATTTGGTTTCTGATGTCAGTTAACTCTAGCATTTCTCTGTTTAGTTTTTGTCTAGATGACCTGAACATTAGTGAAAGCGGGGTATTGAAGTCTCCCACTCTCAGTGTGTAAGGGTCTATATGTGACTTAAGATGTAGCAGTGTTTCTTTCACAAACTTGGGTGCCCTTGTGTTTGGGGTGTAGATGTTAAAAATTGAAACGTTTTTCTTATTTATGCATTTTTCCTTAGATGAGTATATAGTGCCCTTCCCTATCTCCTCTGATTAGTTTTGGCTTGAAGTCTATTTTGTTAGATATTAAAATGGCTACACCAGCTTGCTTCATAGGTCCATTTGCTTGGAATATCTTTTTTCAATCCTTTATCCTTAGGTAATGCCTATCTTTGATTTTGAGTTGTGTTTCTTGAATGCAGCAGAAGGATGAATCCTGTTTTCACATCCATTTGTTTAGTCTGTGTCTTTTTACTGGGGAACTGAGACCATTGAGATCAGTGAAGGAAGGTTGGAGATCTTTGTTATATGTTGTGTGTGGTGTCAGAAATGAAAGAGAGACCACAGCAGGCATTCTGCTATAGAGACTGGGGGATTGGATTTGGGGGAACAGGAAGGTAAAGATCTGCAGTCAGCCTACCTGTTTTCCTGACATGAGTCCCAAATCCTTATTTCTAAACATTGCTTAGGTTGGTCAGCTTGAAGTATTTAGCTTGTGTTTAGTTAGTATTCCCAATAGTGAGGGAGAATTAGATAAGTTAGTGAATGTGCCTGCCATCAATAGGTAGATATATGGGTTAAATATTATTTCACATCCTAGAAGCATTATTTTAAAAACGATTGAAATCTAATTCATATTGCAAAATATATAATTTATCAAAAATAGCTTGATTCTACTTTTAACTTTATAAGCTGATTTATATAATCAGTGCAAAGTAGACATTGAACACACATTGCTTATAAAAATAAGCAAAGAAAAGGAAGAGGGTAATTTTACATTGTTAGTTATTATTTCTTGGGTCTTGCCTCTAAACTTCGGTTTTTATTTGAAATATTTATACTAATAAGGCACTTAAGAGAAACTGAAAACCAAAGAAATGTTTTGTCACTAATATAGAGTGGGAGGCCTCCCTCCAGGTGTGTCTCTGTGTGTTCACTTCAAGTATTGAAACAGGGTCTGACTATGTAACCAGTGCTGGTGATGAACTCATGTGAATCTTGTTGCTGAGTGCTGGGAGTAGTCATTGCTACCGTGCCCTACTTTCCTGTAAGCTTTTTCAACAGTTGTAGAGGAGAGAGTCTGGGTAAATGGAGTGGGGAAAAAAGGCTGGCTTGGGTTGTTTTCAGGAGTTTTAGCCACTGAAGTAGACTTTGTCTAGCCTAAAATTGAGGTGTTGATAACACCTTGTTTAAAAATTTTTTATTAGAGTATATTAACTATATAATACTTGTTTCCATCATACATATCCATAATTTAATTTCATTCATGTCCATAATTTATTTTTACTCTTGCCTCCTACTGTCCATTTTTACTGTAATCCTCATTACCCTCCCATCTCCACTTTCTAGTCCCCCTGATCTCCCTTCCCCACCTTTTGGTAGGCTCAGTGGTATTCCAGTCAGCAGTTATTTACTCTGTAGCCTCTACTTGAGTCAGATTTGAGACTGGCCTTGCTGGGCAGTTCAAGCTTCTAAAGTCAGAATGATGCAGAGTGAAAGAGAGTTACACCAAGTTTCTGTTTCTCAGGACTGAAAACATAAAGCAGGAAGCAGAAATACTCACCAAAGAGCTTTAAAAAGACAAATTCTTTGAATTTCTTGGGGATTCTCGTAATTCTCGTAAGTCATCTGACAAAGGAAGAAGTGACATAAAAGAAAAACAGGGAACTAGACCTTAGAAGTTCCAAGTGTTCCCAGCAGCATGCAGAAATCCGACCTAGCTTCTTCTGGGCACTACTCTTTGCTGCTGTCATTTATATATAAACATGGGAAATCTTGTGTTTAACTTTTTTTTTTTTTAATACAATATTCCACTATGTAGTTCTGACTGTCCTGGAGCTTACTGTATAGATCAGGCTGGCCTTGAACTCACAGAAATCTGCCTGCCTCTGCCTCCTGAGTTCTGGGATTAAAGGTGTATGCCACTATGCCTTATTCTTTGCGCATTACTTTCTGAAGTGAGGCAGAATTTGGCTGTATTTAGAGAACAGGGAATGGATTCACATTTGCTTTTTCTGTTTTCCCTTTGGAAATAATGAATGTTCATGTGCTTCATTTTCTTTGTTCTCTTCAGATTTGGGATTCTGTGACCGGGAAGCTAGTACACATTTATGATGAGCACTCAGAACAAGTCAATTGCTGCCATTTCACCAACAAGAGTAATCACCTCTTGGCTACTGGGTCAAGTGACTTCTTCCTCAAAGTAAGGGTGTATAAAGAAAATTACACAGATAAATTTGTGATACACCAGAATATCCCTTGATTTTTTTTTTTCATGTGTGTTGTATTGTCATTTGCTGTTGTTCTGTTTTTTGTTTGTTTGTTTGTTTGTTTTTGGAGCCAGGGTCTTACTGTGTAGGTCTGGCTGACCTGGAAGTCACTATGTAGGCCAGGCTGACCTCAAACACAGAGATGCACCTGCCTCTGCTTCCCAAGTGCTGCGATTAAAGCCATGTGCCACTGCACCTGGCTGTTTATTTTATTTTAACCGTACTGCTCGGGATTAACCCAGGGCCTCACATGTGCTAAGCTAGAGTGCTGTCACTGGGCTGCATCTCCAGCTCCTTTCAGGGTTATTATTGCAGTGACAGAAATGCTCACATGCCAAATTCCACATCCATAAGCAGAAAAGGAAAAAAGAAAGTTTATTACCAGCTTATGTAACTGCAGAGTTTACAGTGAGCCTGGACCCTGCTTTGGCACTCCAGCCATGTCAGCTGTGCTCTCAGGCCCTCCCTTCCTCCCTGTCTTTGCTCTCTGCAAAGTTCCTTTCCTAGATCCCATAGGTCAAATTTTAGAGATGTTCCTACTTCACTCCATTTAGCACAGGCTCACTATTTTGTACCTGCAATGCCAACAGGGTGGAATCCTTGGCTTGAGCACAGGTAGTCATGTAGAAGTGAGAAAGCGAGGTGGGCCTGATGTATTTGAGTTATAACTGCTTCAGGAGAAGGTACTCTTATCAGATGGAGAGGGAAGGAGGAAAAGGTATTGGTAGAAATATAAACAAAACAAAAGGTGTTGTAGGAATATAAACAGGAAAAGTATTCACTTCATGTATATTTGATAGTACTTATAATTAGGAATTATAAAAGATTTTATCTTGTATCCTCTAAGTGGATGAATACAGGTAGATTACATTTTCTGATGTACTAGAAAGATGTTATCTTCTTCTGGATTTTTTAAAAAAAATTAATTTTGTTTCAAGTCTTTGGCCCACAGTGTCACACTGTTTTTACAGTGGGATATCAGATTTTTAGGAGGTGTAAGTAAAACATTTTAGAAAAACTCAGGCTGTTGAGTATAGTGGTGCCCTCTTGTAATCTCAGTTCTTGGGAGAGTGAGGCAGGGGGAGTTTGGGTTCTATAGCCTCAGCTACAGAGTAAAAGTGTGTCTTAAACAAGTGCTATTACAACTTTCAGAAGGCATCACTGTGAGCCTTTGTGATACAGTGCTACCCTGGCATATATTGGGCCCCAGGTTCAAGCCTCAGCACTGCGAAAAATAAAAATTAAGATTTTTCCAGTCATATTTTATAAAAGCTTTATTTACATCCTACACTAGCCTTTTTTAAAAGAACCATTTGCAGCAAATTCCATGTATGTTATTTCACCCAAAATATTTCAGTTTCACTCCTAGAAATAGGTACCATGCCATGTCCACACCTAACAGCAGTGAACTGTAGTTTTGTTATGTGCCTGGCTTGTGTTAATTTTCCCATATGTGGTCTCAAACCCTACTTTCAAACATAGGTTTATTAGACTCATAACCCCAAAAAACTTGGCTCTTGACAGTTGTCTCTTTTATTCTCTTAAAAACTCTTTTTCTTCATTTTCCTTTTCATGGTGTTGGTTTACTAGACAAATGGAATTACTTGTCTGTGGATTGTATCGTTCTGATTTGTTGGGTGGCTCACTGCACTATTATTTGACTTGATCTATAGTTCCTGTATTCTGGTATCAGTGAAGGTTTTGAAGTTTTTAGGCCATTCATAGCTTTTCCTCTAGTTAGTTATTCCAAGGTTTGGGAAGTCTTAGAAAAATGTAAACATTGCTCAGACCATTTTGTAACCTAGCATTTAAAAATATGGAGATAATTTGCACATTACTTATTGATTTTGGTAGCTAATTAAATACGAGGATTCTAAACCACTCAGTTAAAAATATGCAGCGATTGTTCAGTTAATTTAGTGTTCAGAAGAAAAGCCTAGTGAGGCCTGCAAGTCCCTTAGTGGATTGAGATGTTGATTGAAGGGTTGCTGTGTTATTAATCACAAGTGTCTCTTTGTATTTGACAACTTTATGTTACTATGAATTGAACATCATTTTGTAACCAAAAGCTCAAATGAAAAGGAAGAACTTAGTATGATTTTTACTTTTCTCCATTTAGCTTAGATTGATTTTTCTTTTTATAATTAATTTTTATTTATTGGAAGAGCAGCGGGAGCTCTCTAGCCCCTATTTAGTATAGATTTTAAAATATATCTTTTGGCAGTTTGTTTCACATATACAGTGTATTTTGATCATATCCAACCTAGCTCTCCCCTCTCATTTTCCCTGGACCCACCTTTTCCAGTCTCCACTTCCTCTTCCACCTAATTATAGTTTTAAAGGGGCCCGATGCCTGGCCTGGTCCAGAGCCTTTGAGCTTTAGTGATCCTTCTGTTTCAGCCTTCCAAGTAGCTGAGCTACAGGTGTGTCTACCACACCTGTCCATACTGGTCTCCAGTACTGTTTTTTTTTTTTTTAACTTACATATTTTTTCCTTTCCAAATAGCTCTGGGACTTGAATCAGAAACAATGTCGAAATACCATGTTTGGTCACACGAACTCAGTCAATCACTGCAGATTTTCACCAGACGATGAGCTCTTGGCTAGTTGCTCAGCTGATGGGACATTAAAGGTAAGCCTTCGTGTGTCGTTCGTTACAGGGAACCTTATGATATGGGATGAGTCTAAGTTTTTGTTGGTGTTAATAGTGTTTCAAAACTGTGACACAAGCCCAAAATAAACAACTTACTAAGGAGGGAAGAGCTATTTTTGTTGATAGTTTCAGAGGTTTTAATCTGCCCCTCTTGTCTCTGTGCTTGTGGCAAGGCAAGTGCCTTGTGGCAGGGGCTGTGTGGTGAAAGGAATGGCTCACCTACTGCTGGAAGCTAAGCAGAAAACATGAAGCAACTGGGATCCCACTGTCCCCTTCAGGGTACCTGTCAATAGCCCTCATCCTTCAGGCTCTAAAACTGGCTCTCAACCTGTCGTCGAAACCCTTTGGCAAACCTCTATCTCCAAAAATATTTACATTGAGATTTATGACAGTAGCAAAATTACAGTTATGAAGTAGTAATGAAAATAATTTTATGGTGGGGGTCACTACAACCTGATGAACTGGATTAAAGGGTTGCAGGGTTAGGAAGGTTGAGAACCCACTGCTCTAGGCCCCTGATACAGTGTCCCATACTGGGAACCACAGCTTCAGCTTGAAGGCCTTTTGCAGAGTTTCTAGATCTAGACCATAGCAGCATTTTTTTTAAGTATTAGTAGAAAAGAGTCTTTTCCTTCAGCTTCTAAGAATCTCTGTTGTACTGTTGTTTTTGAATGGCTTATAACCTAGTGTTTAAATTCTTAACTTTAAGCATATCTTACATTTTAAACATATCTGCATCTAGCAGTTTTGGGTCTGTAGAGTCAGGAGGCAGGTGAATCTGTGTCTGTTTTCTCCAAAGGGTATAAAATCCAGTTTTATTTTTAGTCTGGTTTTGTTGTTGTTGAAGAGTCTAGGGAACTGTAGATTGTGTGAAAAGTGGCATGTTCTGTATTTTATCTGTCACTTTTGGAGTCTTCTTGAGTTGTTCAATTTCTTCTTCTGTATTTTCTTCTTCTAGAATATTTGTTTTTGAATTTTTAATTTTTTTCCTTGCCTTTCCTCATTTTGCCTTTCTGGAAATCTTTTCTTTTGCCTCAATTTTCCTAGTATTTAAAAATACAATAGTAAAGACTGCAGAGATGGCTCAGAGGTTAAGAACATTGGCTGTTCTTCCAAAGGTCCTGAGTTCAATTCCCAGCAACCATGTGGTGGCTCATAACCATCTATAGTGAGATCTGGTGCCTTCTTCTGGTGCACAGACAAACATGCAGGCAGAATGCTGTATAAATAATAAATAAATCTTAAGAGAAAAAAAGGAAAAACAAAATGTGAGACTAGACATGGTGGCACATACCTTTAGAGAGGCTGGAGAGATGGCTCAGAGGTTAAGAGCACTGACTGCTCTAACAAAGGTCCCGAGTTCAATTCCCAGCAACCACATGGTGGCTCACAACCATCTATAATGAGATCTGGTGTCCTCTTCTGTCATTCTGGTGTACATGCAGGCAGAACTCTGTATACATAATAAATAAAGAAATCTTAAAAAAATATATTAGTATTTTAAAACTTTGCTATCAGATTTTCAGTACCTGTTCATAGACTTACTTTTTAAATTTTACTTTAAATATTATACTGCTATTTCATGATTATACTTTTTTTTTCATTTTGTCAATATGACAAAAACAATATGAATAATTTTTTGGGCCTTAGATCTTATTATGATGGTTTTGAGCCATGTGGTTGCTGGGAATTTAACTTGGGGCCTTTAGAAGAACAGCCAGTGCTCTTAAACCTCTGAGCCATCTCTAGCCCCTGCTTTTTATTTTTTTATCTTGTGGGTTATGCCTAGGGGGAAAAAATCCTTTTACTATTGTTTTACATGGTTTTGGGAGGGCATTCAGGTGAGTGTGTTTTTATCTATGTCTTTAAGCCAAGCTTTATTTCTTTTAGTAATACTTTCTATATATCTGTCCTTGAAACTTGAGTATAGTCTGTCTTTTTACTTAACACTTTTTAAAAATCATGCATTCAATCTTCACTATATGCTAGATACTGTGCTATGCCTTTGGGTTTAATAACTAGAAGGAAAAAATTATGCTCTTTAGTCTGGTTATTCAGAATAAAGTCAAGGTAGAAGGTCAGTGAATAAACTGAAAAGGACAAGATCATATGCAAGGTTGATTTCTCTTGTTTTCATTTTAAAGATTTTATTTTTTAAAGTTATGTGTATTTCTGTGGGTGGGTATGCTTGTGGATTGTCAGTGGTTACAAACCAAAGGCAGTGTTTCCTCCTCCTTCTGAATCTGTCGTGTCAAATAATTCAGCAGTGAGGGGTACGCTCCCTGATTCTCTTCTCCATCCATGCCAGGCTGTTGCCAGGCCCCCTTTTTAAAGTCCCGGCATTCATTCATTTGCTCGCTCATTTATCTATTTATTTATTTATTTATTTATTTATTTATTTATTTATTTATTTGTTGGTTTGTTTGTTTGTGTATGTGCGGGCGTGTGCATATGGAGGCCAGAGGACAACTTGCAGGAGTTGGCTGTTTCTACCATGGTGGGTTCCAGAGATTGAACTCAGGCTGTCGGGTTTGTGCTCTTACCTGAGAGCCGTTTTATCAGCCTGCAGGTCCGTTTTTGTGCAGATTCAGTGCAGCAGGTGTGAGTTTGAAGTTGATGGTTGCTGTAGCTTGCCCAGAAGATGGCACTGGCTGCCTTTCTTCCTCTCTTCTGGCTGTTGAGTTCTTTCCACCCCCTCAGCTTCTAAGTTCCCTGGACCTTAGAGGGAATGGTATGAATGTCTTGTTTAGGACCTGCTCATCACTGTTATCAACACTTTGTCAGTCATGAGTGAATACACCCTGCATTTTTATTATCAGCCATGAGTGGATGGACACATCGGCTGGTTCCATCTACTACCCAGCATCCCGGTCACTGTACAGTCCTGAGCTAAGGAGTTTTTATGTCAAGTTGATCAGAGACATTTGAGTTTCTGTATTCATGTGTGAGTGCCACTAGCAGTGGGGACAGGCATCACTACACACTTGGGGAAAACTGCCTGTGTTGATGATGATGGCTTTCCTGCAGTGCTATTAAGCCGGTGTCACTGGCTGGCTTGCACAGTGACATGTGGAAAGCAGAGGTCCTGCAAAATAATGTTAGCTAACAGCATGTCAAGGTCAAAGCCTTGTAAAGCTTTTACCATCTGAGAGAAGATGAGCTGTAAAATTACTTTATGCCCCAAAGGCTCTGTGATTTTTTTTAAGCTTGTTGTAGCGTAGCATGTAGACAAGCATGTTTTTTGTTTGTTTTTTATTTTTGTTTTTGGACCTAAATGAGAAATTATTTTAAAATGCTTTACTTAAGGATTGTTACTTAAAGCACACAAGAGCTTAGGGTGCACAGGGATCCTGGGTACAGTGGCGTGACCTCCTCAGAATGCAATAGTGTGGTTGAGAGTCTCTCCTGATGTATGACACTTAATCACTGGCTGGCTAGGGGCTGGGATGGGTGTGGAAGCACATGCAGTTTTAGGTGTAATGAAGTTGAGTTGTGTCAGCTTGCTTTTAGTTCCTAAGCCTAAGTAATGGTTACCTTGTTTGTCCAACTGACAGTATGATTTTTCATCACTGGATGATGTGACACTTGGTTTGTTTCCTTTGAAAACTTAGAAATTATTTTATGCAGCGTGTGTATGTATTAATGTTTGTGACCTGTTTGGAGGTCAGAGGTCAAGTTGGGCAGTCAGTTCTCTCCCTTCATCATGTGGCTTGGTGGCAGGTGCTTTCACCTACCACTCACCCACTGTGCCTACCTTCTTTCTGTATCAGGGAAAACTTAACATGTTAAGTCCTATTGTCTGTTTTGTTTTATTTTATGCAATGTAGATACAGTTGTCCCAAAGGGACACTTAGGGTTTGGCAGCTTAAAAAAAAAATCTATCTATCTAGCCATCCATCCATCCATCCATCCATCCACCCATTTATTTATCTATTTCTGGCCAACCCTTGGTCCAGGACATGGTAGCCCTTATGAAGCCAAGACACTGCTCCAGGTCTGAGAGAGTAAGAGTTTCAGGGGTCATTGCTTTTTGTACTATCTGTGTGGCTACTTTAGAATAAGGCTGATTATTTCATACCCCATTCCTCAGGAGCTGGTTAGTTCTGCAGCACTGCAGAGCCCCACCCAGCACAGTGGAAGCCTTGCTTCCCCTCAGTATAATGTTTCTCCCTTTGGGATCTCATTTTCACTGGATGCCCAGCAGGCACTCGGCCCAGGACAGTTTCCTGCTGTGCTTGACATGTGCACCTCATGCTTGTCCCAGCAGAGGGCAGCAGCAGCCAGCTGTGAGTCTTGCCTATGCTTGTTTTTACTTTCAACCCGAGCCTTTAGCCTCTTCCATACTGCAAGACCTAGTTAACTTTTTTTCCCTTTTGAGATGAGGTCTCATGTAGTCTAGGCTGGCTTCAAACACACGATCCTCCTGCCTCAGCTGCAAAGTTCTAGCATTGTAGTGTGCCAAACTGTGCAACTCAATTAACTTTTTATCTAATTCTACAGGCTGTGGGGTTTTGTTCGTTTGTTTTTGTGAAATTGAACCTGGACTTCTTAATTTAAAAATCTCATAAAAAGCTAGACATATGTAAAAAAATTTATTAGGTAGAGTACATTTGTATGACATTCTAGTTGTAATTCTAGAGGTGTGTGTTGGGAGTAAAGCAACTTTGTTTTTTGTTGTGTTTTTTTTTTTTTAAACAGCTTTGGGATGTGAGATCAGCAAATGAGAAGAAGAGCATTAATGTGAAGCGGCTCTTCCTGGGTCCAGAGGACCCTCAGGAGGAGGTGGACGTCATAGTGCAGTGCTGCTCCTGGTCTGCAGATGGTGCCCAAATACTAGCGGCAGCAAAAAACAGAGTCCTCGTAAGTCCTGCCATCCGCGTCCACGCGGACACAGCTTCAGCCTCTGCTGCGTTTCCTCACTTTCCAGTGTAGCTCTGTGATTTGGGGCAGACTTCCTAATTGCTTACAATTCTTTGAAGCCATGTTCTCTGGGGGGTGTGGAAGGCCTGTGAGAACAGGTCATACATAGTCACACGGGTCAGAAATACTTTATATTTTCCTAAGACACACAGTGTGAAACAGCATATTAAAGCCATACGCTACAAGAACAGATTGTAAGGTAAAGTCCAGTGTCCCCCAATTTATTATTAATTTTTTTATTTTATGTGATGGGTGCTTTGGCTACATGGATGTCTTTGTACCACGTGTGTACAATGCCTGTGGAGGCCAGAAGAGGGTGTTGGAGCCCGTCGAACTGTAGCTGTAGACGCTTGTGAGCTGCCATTGGGTGCTTGGACTTGAACAAAGGTCCTCAGGAAGAGCAGCTGTTGCTTTTCACTGCCGAGCCATGTTTCTAATCCCCTTCAGGTTATTTGAAGCAGAGTACTTTCTTTGTGGGGATTGTCAAAATACTTTTAAAAACAGATTTACTTTTAATTACGCGCTGTGTCTATGTGTGGCTATGTGTGCGGAGTGGGTGGAGTGCTTGCTGAAGCCAGAGGCATTGGGTCTCCTGAAGTGGAGTTACAGGTGACTGTGATCCTCTGGATATGGATGTTGGGAACAGAACTTCTGTCCTTTTGAAGGGTGGTGTGTGCTCTAAACTGCTGAGTCATCACTCCAGCCTCTCAGAATAATTTTTAAATCTCTTTTACAATTTGATGAAGTTGATGAGAGAACTATTCCTTAAGAACTGAATAATACTGTGAGATTTTCATAAAGCAAATGAAGATATATACAAAATAAATGGTAAGAAAATACCTTTTTTTTTTCTCTAAATCTCACACTAGCGTCATGTTCTGAATACTCATCAGAGTGTATAATTAAAAATATAAATACCCAATAGCTGTGGTAGATTGCTGTAGTGCTATGATGATAATGGGGGAACTGGGCTCCAAGTAGACATAGTGGTTTATAAAGACGGGTTGTGAGGAGAGCCAAATCTTGTGGTTCATGGATATTCTATCCTACCTTTAAAAGCACTGGCTGGTAGGTAGTATAAACTAATGATACCATGTATTTAGATATAAACTCTTTGAGGGACTGGGTGTGTGTTTGTTTACTGACCTAGTGATTGTGAATCTTGGTTACTTGTGGACTTAAATCCCTCTGTTAGGAAACTAAGAAGAAAAATATATCCTTTTGTCTTAAGTGTGTTAAAGTCTGTAAAAATAGAAAACAACCAATTGCTTTTGTAAAATTTGAAGATTAAAATTTTCATTTTTGTTGTGATAAAAATTAATGTAAAATTTGCCATTTAAAACTGTTTTGTTCTTGTTTTTGTTTTTTTCTGATAACTAGGATGTGAATGTAGGTCTTGCAGATATAGCCAAACATTTTATCATTGAGCTACAACCTCAGTTCTTTTTCATTTGTATTTTGAGATTGCCCCGGCTGGCCTTGAACTAGGCTTGCCCCAAATTTGCAATCTTCTTGCCTCAGCCTCCTTAGTAGATGGAGTTAAAGGTGTTCCCAAACCATTTTTAAATGTGTACCATTGGCATTATAATTATATTCCTAATGTAGTGCAGACATTACCACTGCATGTACTTTCCTTCCTTTGTTCCTTTGTATCTCTCTCCCTCCCTTCTTCTGTCCTTCCTTCCTCCCTTATCTGTTTGTTTCTGTGTGGTTCAGTAGACCAGGCTGGCCTTGAACTCAGAGGCCTGCTTGCCTCTGCCTCCCGAGTGCTGGGATTAAAGGCATGCACCACCAAAATCTGGCCACCACTATATATTTCTAAAAGTTCTCATCACTCAAACAGAAACTCCATTACGACGAGTAATTCTCTACTCTCTGTCCCCACTCCCTGGTGACTAATAACAGGACACATGAATTTGCCTGTTCTGGAAATTTTACAAGTGGAATTATATAATACTGGTTTATTTATGCTTGACTCATTTCATTGAGCATAATGTTTTTACGGTTTATTTGTGTTACAGAATGTGTCAGAACTAAACAATCTTTCTCTTTCCCCCTCTCTGTGAGTGTGTGTGTGTATGCACATAGTTTGTGCATTGTGTGTGTATGCACATAGTTGCTACATTTTTTTTTTTTTGAACTAATGACTCTGTACAGGCACCTGGCATTTCCCCTCCTTTTGGCTGTTGTGAATGGTGCTGCAGTGAATGCTGGTGAATAAGTATCTGTTTGAGACCTTGCTTTTTTTAATTTACTTTTTATTTATTACAAGTTATTCACTTTGTAGCCCAGCTGTAGCCCCATCCCTTGTCCACTCCCAATCCTGCCCTCCCTCCCTCCCTCTTCTTCCATGCCCCTCCCCCAGTACACTGATAGGGGAGGTCCTCCTCCCCTTCCATCTGACCCTAGCCTATCAAGTCTCATCAGGACTGGCTGTATTGTCTTCCTTTGTGGCCTGGTATGGCTGCTCCCCCCTCAGGGGGAGATGATCAAAGAGCAGGCCAATCAGGTCATGTCAGAGATAGCCCCTGTTCCCCTTACTAGGGAACCTACATGGAGACTGAGCTGCCATGGCAACATCTGTGCAGGGGTTCTAGGTTATCTCCATGAATGGTTCTTGGTTGTAGTATCAGTCTCAGAAAAGACCCCTGGGCCAGAATCTGGAAACACTTCAGATGTTCCTCAATTGAAGAATGGATACAGAAATTGTGGTACATTTGCAATATGGTATACTAGTCAACAATTAAAAACAACCAAATCATGAAATTTGCAGGCAAATGGTGGGAACTAGAAAAGAGAATTCTGAGTGAGGTATTCCAGAAGCAGAAAGATACACATGGTATATACTCACTTAAAAGTGGATATTGGTCATATAATAAGGATAATCATACTAAAATCTGTACACCTAAAGAAGCTAAGCAAGGAGGACCCTGGGTAAGATGCTCAATCTTCATTCAGAAAGGCAAACAGGATAGACATTGGAAGAGGGAAAAAACAAGGAACAGGACAGGAGCCTACCACAGAGGGCCTCTGAGAGACCTCTACCCAGCAGGGTGTGCTGAGACCAAACTTTGGGCAGAGTGCAGAGAATCTTATAGAAGAAGAGGGAGATAGAAAGACCTGGAGGGGACAGGGGCTCCACAAGGAGAGCAACAAAACCAAAAAAATCTGTGTCCGAGAACTTCTTTTAATAACATTTTGTATAGTTCTAATAGCGGAATTGCTTTTTTTCGTTAAAAATTTATAGCCAATGAAGTAAGTATGAGGTAGTGATTTCATTTACATTTTTCAGATGACCAGTGATGTTTAGGAAAAAAAGCCCTACTCCCCAGTGATGCCCAATGTTAGGCGAGGACTCTACCATTGAGGTAACTCCTGTACCCCAGGGAAAGATCATTTTAAAGCATTTAAAAGTCTGTTCTAGTGGAAAAGGATAAAGCACCTTGTTTTAAAGCCCTGTAGACCAGATCCCTATTTACCATGCTGAAATAGTTACTATAGGATTACCCTTAACAATTTTTCACTCTTGTTTTCTCCTTCTCTCTCTACTTCTTTCAGACTCTTGTATTCTTCCGTTCTTTTTTTCTTTTTTCTTTTTTTTTGGTTTTTTGAGACAGGGTTTCTCTGTGTAGCCTTGGCTGTCCTGGACTTGCTTTGTAGACCAGGCTGGCCTCTAACTCACAGAGATCCACCTGCTCTGCCTCCCTGAGGGCTGAGATTATACACCAGGCCTGGTGACAAACTTTTGTATTCTTAGTCTACCCCTGTTGTCAGGCTTTTTCTCTGTTGTCATTGGGACAATTTTTCATTTCGTATTTGCCAGTTTTTTTCCTCCCATGTCATTCTTAGCCACTCATTTTTAAGAATAGCCTGCCCTGGGAAACATGTAAGTGTGATTTCCTGTCCTTTGGTTTTAGCCTTCCACTCTGTGGTACCTTGGTATCTGTGCATGTCCCTGTGCTGTGTATTCGCCAAACTTCTTTATGGCTCCCATTGGAAGTCTTTGTTTTCTTGTTGAGGACTGTCTATGCCTCGGTCTTAAATAACCAGACTGTATCAAGACACTATATGTGTGTATGAGGATATGTAGTCTTACCATTTGGCAAACATATTCAGTATTTGAAAATCTTTCAAGAATTGAAAGGAAGGTTGTATTACTAAAAAATAGCCTTTTTGGTTCAAAAATGGGAAAATGATTAATTGTAATAGAGTAATTTGGTAGGTCTGGGGAGAAATAGAATTAATTGAGCTTGTTTCATTTTTTGCAGGGCTTTGCTCTGTTATTTTGGCCATCTTTGCTCATGAGCATACATCTTCTTTCTTGAGTCAGTAGCGTCATGGAGAACTGCTCTGTGTGCTAACTTGACTGGCCTGTTCGTGTATTCACAGGATTTTGTTTCTCTCTAGGCCAGCTTGAAAGAATATCTGTGATGAATTTTCCTCTGCAGAAGATAGCTTTCAAGATGAGTTATATTTTAAAATGATACATATACTGGTCTATGTCTTATTTATGGCCATCAGCATTTATGCCAGTCATCAGTAGATGTAGGTTTTCAGGACTTGTATATTTTACAAATAAACTTAGATTCAGGATGGGTATAATTTAGGACGTTTGTTTTTATAGATATCTCTTTATTTTGGCAGCTTTTTGATATTCATACTAGTGACCTGTTGGCAGAAATTCATACAGGACATCAGAGCACCATCCAATACTGTGACTTCTGCCCCTATGACCATTTGGCAGTGGTTGCCCTGTCCCAGTACTGTGTAGAGGTGAGTAGTTGAATTTATCTGATGGAATCTGGGTCTTCAGAGATCCAGTGATGACAAGAGTAGTGGCCTAAACCCTTGAGTGCTGAGGATGCTTTTTTGGAAAATTATGTTTTCTTCATAGCTTAGTAATATAGCTTTGGGGTATTCAATTATATTACCAGCCTTATTATTTTAATGTGATTGAAGCCATGATTTTACAATGATGAGGTGACAAGATCATTTACCAAGTCCTTATTGAATATCCAGTGCTTGGGATATTGAATATCCCCAGTGCTTGGGGAAACAATGGAATGAGCATTGGTTTCTTAGGCATTTCTTTTTGCTTTAACCCACTTTTTAGGTGTGTATGTGTGTGTGTGTATTATACATGCATGTGAGTGTGTGCACCTGTGCAAGCACATGAGCAGGCCTTAATTTCTTATCACTGTATTTCTTTGAGGCAGGATCTCTCACTGGCTGGTGGCTGTACATGGAGCTTTGGGGTTTGCCTGTCTTCAACCCTAAATGTTAGGATAACAGGCACACACAGCCATGCTTGACTCTTCATGTAGGTGCTGTGTATTTGAATCCAAGTCTTGTGCATGTGCAGAAAATGCTCTAACCCACTGAGCTCTCTCCCTGGCCCCTCTCCCCAATGTTTTAAAGTTAGCATATAAAAATAATAAGTATGTATTGTATAAAACAATAGAATTTGTTAATTTTTATATATAATATGATTTGATCACATAGGCAATTCTTAAACAGTATTGACACGTGGTATCTTGTAAGCAGTACAGACACAGGCTCTATTCTTGCAGGTGTGTGTGTGTGTGTGTGTGTGTGTGTGTGTTTGGTATATATGTGTGTGTGTGGTATACACATGTGACAGAGTGCACATGTAGAGACCAGGGGACACCTTCCTCACCGCCTCCTTTTTTACTGAGACAGTCTCTCACGGAGCAAAAGCTCACTGTTCTGACTATGCTGGCCTGTCGGAGAATTCTCTGGATGTGCCCATCTCTACCCATCAGTGCTGGGTTCCACACGTTTGTCTGGCTTTTTACATGGGTGCTGAGAACTCAGACTCGGATTCTGCTTGTAGAGCAAGCCTTCTTGCCCACCGAGCCATCTCCCCAGCCCCAGATGCTATTCTTTCTTAAAATAAATGAGTTAGTTCAGATTCTTAGATAATTTGAGTAGGGTAAGATGGTAGTTATATATCTGATCAGTTAAGAAAGCATAGTCATTGCCAAGCACAAATAAAATAATTTTTATAAATTACTTGTGTTTATCATCAGCCCTTCATATCATTTCTGAGATCCTTACCCTCCATCATCCTTAGAAAGCTCCAGGAAACAATGCATGTCTTTCTTCTCGAAATGTAAGGGCTTTGTGGGGGAAGCTCAACGTGACAGATGAAGGAGAGCAAAGTTAAAGGAAAAAAAAAGAAGGGATTCTTGAGGTTTTGTTGTTATTGTTGTTGTGGGATTAATTTCTGTCCTTTACTGCTGCATTTCTCTGTTTAGACTCTAGAGATAGGGCAGGCCTTTCATGTAATCATTTTGTAACTGGAACTCAGCCATTGGGCATGTGATGAAGTAATTGTTTTGTTCATGCTAATTCTGAAATCATAAAGTAGGTCTGTGATTCAAAGTGTAATGAGAGGAACTCAGGCACATATGGTACTTCATTAGACTGGAATATATTTGAGGAATGTACAGCAGAACCCAGGACAAAGTACAGCCAGGATGGTGGCAGACTCCAGCGAATTGTGACAAGCATGGATAAAAAGGGGGATGTGTACGTGGTACAAATTAGTGTGCTCATTTATTGTGGGGCTTTGTAGCCAGTTCAAATGAAGGCTGGATGACCGTATTAGAGATAACCCTGATGTGGAAGCTGATTATGTTCGTTTTATTATATTTAGATTGATTAAAAGAAATGATAAAACGTGTGTGATTCTAGATTCAAAGCTTTATAATAAGTCATTTTCAGACAAATATCCTTTCCCTTCCATCATTTTCCATCTCATAGGCAGCATCTTTTTGCATATCTAAGCAGATCTCTATATGCATGTACATGCATGTCTATATCCATCTGTATGTCCATATATATATATATATATATATATATATATATATATATATTTTTTTTTTTTTTTTTTTGAGACTGGCTCTCATATAGCCCAGGTTGGGCTCAAATTCACTCTGTAGCCAAGGATGACCCTGAGCTTCTGATTATTCTGCCACCATCTGGGTTTTACCAACTATACCATATCCCTAGACTTTGTTTTTTTGTTTTTTGTTTTTTTTTTTTAAAGATTTATTTATTTATTTTATGTCTATGAGTGCTCTGTCTCCAGGTATCCCTGCGTACCAGAAGAGGGCATCAGATCTCAGTATAGATGGTTATGAGCCACTATGTGGTTGCTGGATTGAACTCAGGATCTAGAAGAGCAGATAGTGTTCTTAACCACTGAGCCATCTCTCCAGCCCCAACTTCGTAATTCTTAACAAAAAAATGCTTTTATTCATTCTTTGAGCATTTCATACATCTAATTCTTAAGTAAAATATAGTATATGTTCTTATTTTTTTCTGTTAACAGTGTATCATAGAACTTAGTTATTTTATAGGTGTTTTTCTCATCTCATTTGTTATAGTATTCCATTATGTGATTAATTATATTACCTAGCTTCCTGCTGCTTCAAGGTATTTTCTTATGTAAAATATATTCATGACTTTTGTGAGGAGTGTGTTGTGGAATGAGTCTGGGGCCATGTGTTCACTGAGTGTGAGATGCACCAAGAGACCTACACCCACATGGCAATTTTTGTTACTTCTGTTTATTAAAAATATAATCATATGAGAAATCATCTTATGTATAAGCCAGTTTTAAATTTTTGTAATGTGTATTTGTAGAAATAGTATTACTGGTCATTGTTATTTTCAGTATTCTTGTTACATTAAGCTGTTTATAATTGTGGTTTCCTGTGTTCTTTGTTCATCCTGTAGTTGTGGAATGTAGAGTCACGCTTAAAGGTAGCTGATTGCAGAGGACATTTGAGTTGGGTTCATGGTGTGATGTTTTCTCCTGATGGTTCATCATTTTTGACAGCTTCCGATGACCAAACAATAAGGGTGAGAAATATTGAGATTTTCATTTTAAACATTTATACTAAATTTATAGAGAAAGAAATTTTTGGGAAGTGTTAAGTGGGGGTAAAATAAGAAGCTACTAGGTACATATTTATCCTGGGAAAGTAGTGTTGCATGGATTATATTAATCTCATTCATTCAGACATTTTATTGAATATTAACTGTGGGCTAGGTGCTGACCAGTCTGTCCAGTGAGTAAATTCTGGACTTATCAGATTCTTAGGAAGACTTTTTACTTTTCCCTTTTGAATTCTCATATTTAATTATGTGATAATTCTCTTAGTTCATGTATTTTACCTTCTAATTCTATCATTATTTATTTTTACTGTCCATATTCAGATCCTCATCATCTGTTGCTTTTCTGCCATGAGAGATATTAGACTCTCACATGTTTTCTTTCTTAGACTCTCACATGTTTTCTTTCTTACTACATGATGTGTCTAGGATATTTTTCTTATATACAATACAGTCTCACTACTATTTTCATTTATTGGTGTTGGGGAGTAAGCCCAGAGCCTCATGTTTCCACCACTGAGACACACCCACAATTTCTGATTATGTCATTTTTGCTCAAAAACAGATAGTGGCTCTTTTGCTCATCAAAGTAAATACACACTTCTAAGTCTGCTGTTCAGCATTTCCACAGTATGATCGACTCCGGTCCTAGTCTGTCCTTCACTTTTTTCCTGTAGGTGACATTTCCCAAATACCCTGCTTGCTCCGTTCCTTTTTTTACGTAGATTCTCATGTTTCTAAAACCTTACTTTCCTGGCTCTCTGCTTGCAGGAATCTTCACCATCCTAATGTCTGCTCATGTCTTCTCTGTTTAGGGGGATATCTGTCTCCTTTAGTGTTATATAATTGTGTCACTTTTGATTGATGCCTATCAAATTCTGACTATATAGACTTGATTTACTCTACACTCCAGTGTTCCACTGTCCCTTGCTTTATTTACATATTTTAGAATTACATCTAGCTGAGTCTAGGAATTCTAGTTGGTGCTTATAACACCCAATACAATGTTTTATACGAATCATAGCTAAGATTTATTCACTGCTTCATGTCAGACATTGTGCAAAGTACTATGTATGTACTGCCTTAGTAATTCTTATAATAGGAAAGAGCATGAAATAGGTACAAGAAAAGCCCAGTGCTACTGTATGTGCCATCTTACTAGCCTTGACCTAGAATATAAATCAACTCACTGCTTCCCTCATCAAGAAGGTCTTGTTTATAGAAAGAAAGAAAGAAAACTATGACAAAGCACAGGTTGTTTAGTGATCAACTGACTTATGTTCTGCTGTCAGCTGTGTGTCTAATTGTAGATGGGTATCAACCAGCCCTCACCTTCAGGGAACACTGGGCTAACCTCCCTAATGTCACAGTCTTTTTTTTTTTGTTGTTGTTGTTATTAAAGTAGAATTCACAGACATTTGACTGCAGACCCTGCAACTCGTGTTAATAATAATAATAATAATAATAATAATTTCTTTCTAAAGGATATGCTAATGTGTTTATTGTTGTTTTATAGCCTAATAGGTGAATTTTTTATAGCATAGGCATTCTAATTGTGAATCACAATTTGTTATCTTGCTTTAAGACCAAGTCATCTCAGAGGAAAGACTGATAGTGTACAGTTATTTTAGTTTCTTTATCTCTTACTCAGGTCTGGGAGACAAAAAAGGTGTGTAAGAACTCTGCCACAGTGTTAAACCAGGAAATAGATGTTGTGTTCCAAGAAAATGAAATGATGGTTCTGGCAGTTGACAACATAAGAGGTCTACAAGTGAGTATATATTTAAAAATTTATTGGAAACATTGTTTTGGTTAAGCTCATCCTTTTCCTATTTGTTTTTGGGTTCGGGATGAGGTGTATGGTTCTAACAGGTGTCAACTAGGCATTAGTTGAATAACTAACTACACGGCTTTTGAGTCGAGGTTTGGATTTGTCAGCATCAGAATTAAATTAGATGCCACTTTCCCTTTAACCTTGTTTCTCTCTTGTGGAAGTCTGTGTTTACATCTCTTGATTTGAGACTACTACAAAGACAAACTTAAATTTGTTCACCATAGTGATTTGATGTGTCTGATAGGGTAAGCAAGGAGTGAACATACTGACTGAAGTTGTTGTTGTTGATTTTTTTTTCCCCTATTAGGAAAGGAATGTAGAGTTTTTAGGAATAAAAATCATCTTCAGTGGAGGAGTTTCAGTCATTAGAGCTGAGGTTGAGGGAGCTGGATTTCACATCCAGAAGCATTCCTGCTCAATAATTCACTTCTTCACACATATGTTTGGTAATTTTTGAATACTTACTAGTCCCAGAGAAAGAAGGGATTGTGTTAATAACATTAGAATATTATTGCTTAGGGAGCCAAACAGTTCATCATCGGCTGATATCCCTGTGGCCACAAACAACAGTCCCAGAGGTTCACTGACAGAAGAAAGGTATATTTGAGCTTCTGAGTGGTTGAAATAGAGTTAGCAGAAGACTTAAGGACCATTGTTATCTAGCGGGTCAGTGCCACTGAGTTGGGGCCTGAGTAAAGTGAACTCTGAACAGAAGTCCAGTGTGCTTGGCATCACCTTGGCAGAGAAGTCCTGGAAGTGGGGGTAATGCTCACGTCACACAAGAGGTTGTTTTCACGGTGGCCAGCCCATACAGAACAGTTGGATGGTAGACCTTTGTAGGAGATATCGTTGTGAGGCTCTGAGTGAGTTGTGGTTAAGCGGGGTAGTAAGGAAAAAATATGTCACTGGGACTAGTGTGGCTCTTAAATAAACTATCAAGTGATCACCCCTTGCCCTTGAAAGAGGGTCCTGGAGAGGACAGAAACTCTAGCATAGTTGGGATTAATGATCCTTGAAACGTTTATTTTATTTTAGAGCCTTTCATTAACTCTTAGATCAAAAACATAATCTGCATTGATCGCGATTATTTTTTCAGTGGTGGTCCTGGGGATTAGACCCAGGCTAGCTTTCTAACATTGAACTGCTGTTATATAAAGAATGAAAAGTCCCAAATCATTCAGTTTTTACCAATGGCGACTCAAGAGCCAGATGCTGAGATGAAAACTTGTTTGCTCAGAGAGGCAGAGAAAGCACCCAGGTGATCTTCCTACTCAGCTCTCATCCCAGAAGCAAAATAGCCAAAAGCTCGCTAGTTCACCTGACAGCCCAGGAGGAGAAGGCCAAAAGCCCAAGAGCTCCTTCTTCTCCACAATGTCTTAAAAACTCTTCTCTCACAGTCCCTCCTTTCTACTTAATCCCTGTCAGCTGGTTTCTTGTTCTACTTCTTGACTTAGGGTTTAATTTTATTAAATTCAGTGTACAGAAAGCTCTTGGATTAGAGGTGTGTGTTAGGGCTGAGCCACACCAAACAATAAACAAGCTTTTACAGTTCATAATCTCAGGGTTCACAATGGAATCAAATATCCTGGAACACCAGCCTTTGAAATACCTTGCTAGTTTCTAGGGAAGGCTTTAGTAGTGATAATCTGATCTCTCTTTCTTTTAAAACATTTTATTTATTTTTACTATGTGTGTGTTACCTGAATACATGTGTTTATACCCTGTGTGTGCAGTGCTCACAGAGACCAGAATTATATCTCCTGGAGCTGGAGTTACAGACCAATTTTGAGTTAGCATGTAGGTGCTGGGAACTATACCTGGTTTTCTGCTCTTAGCCACTGGGCCTTCTTTGCAGCTGCAAGTTTTATTTTTTGACTATTTATTTTTACTTAATATAGGGAGCAAGAGTTCATGTGAAAGAATGGGATGTGAAAGTGAGGTAGAGCACATGGAAAGCTGGGGAAGGACTGCAGACCGCAGGCAGAGCTTAGAGTATTTAAGCTTGAGTGCTCAGGTTGGTGCAGTGGAGACCCAGAGCACATTCAGACTAGTGCCAACTGGCTCTGTGGTGACCAAACTTTATTGCTTCTCATTTTGTCACCTTCCATGCCCTTTCCATCTTGAGCAATCTGTGAGCTGGTTACAGATTAAGGCAGACTCTAAGTTGAAGAGTTTCCTACCTGGGTATCCATAGTTCATGTCACGTGGGAATTTGTCTTCCACATTCTGGGTTTTAGAGTGAAATTGTAAAACATCTCTAAGTTTATCTTGATCAATATTTTATAAATTCACACACCATCCTCTCAATATGATGATCAGTGTTCTGCATTTATGGTATGAACTTGGATAGGAAATTGAATGTGAATTCTTTATGTACTTTTTTTTTTCTTTTTAATAGACTGAGTCTTTTGCTTGGGATATTTTTATTGTAGTTCTTTCCAAGGTCATTGTTCCCTTGCTTGTATATTTTTAAATCAAACCTATGCAACCTTTCAGTTACAGTTGTCATAAGCAAAGGATGATGAATTTGCCTGATTAAAAATATTGTTTTTCTATATATCATAGTTTTCAGGAATTTAGAGGACAGTTTAACTGACAAATAGTTGTTCCAATAAAGTAAATGTAGAATTTTTAAATTATCAATTAAAAGAAGTGTTGAATTTGATTTTTGTGGAGAAAGATAATCAGTTTTCAGTAGTTGAGTCTTAATATTGCTTGACAGTTTTATACTTGATGTGATGCATTGTGATCATATACACCCCATTACCTTCTCTTATTCCACTTACTTTGAACCCCCCTTCCCCAATAAGTTGCTCATTTACTTTCTGGTATAGGTGGTGTGTATGTCCTACTGAGTTTTACATAGATTCGGGGTTAGTTACTAGAACATGGCAATTAGTCAGTGGTGACCCAGCTAAAGAAGATGACTTCTCTCCCTGTAACTATTAACAGCTAATGAGTCCTCATGGAGGGGTAGTACCTCCCAAGCCCCTCACCATTAATAGTGGATTTGTTAAAGGGCCTAATCATGTAGAGAGATTATGAAGGTAACCATAGTTATTGTAATTTCATACTTGCAACGGTCATGTCATATCCAGGAGATAGCATTTTACAGCATACCTCTCCACTTTCCGGTTCTTAACATTCTTGTAGTACCCTCTTCCATGATGTTCTTTGAGCCTTGGAGGAAGAGATACAGATGTCTTATATAGGGCTAAATACTCAATAGTTACTTAATTCTCAGCACTGTTACTAGCTATGGTTCTCTGCATTAACTGCTGACCATTGCAAAAGAAGACTCTTTGACCAAGGTTGAAAGCAGCATGGATTAGTCTGTGGGTATAAAAATAGGTAGCTAGACTGCTTGGGAGGCAGTTTGACAGCATATCTCTTTTCAAAATAAGAGTAGTAACTTCCTTGCCTAGAGCCTGTGACCTCCTCAGCCATGGGCTTTTGACCACCAGGTTTACAGTGCCAGGCATGAATTCCTTTTATGTAGCAATCCACAAATCCAACCAAAAAGAGGTTGGTTATCCCCATAGCAGTCATGCTACTGTTGCACAATCTTACTTAGCAGGTCTGTAGTATAGCATGCAGTGGCCACAGTTAGGTAAGAGCATTGATGAATTTTCTTTCCCAGCAGCCTGGAGTAATTTGGTCTTGACTTTAAATATCTAATAGAGCAAAGCATTTTGGCAAACTGTTAATAAAGGTAAATCTATGTATTATTAATTAACCTTACTTATAATCAGTGTAGCTGAAACAATTTTATTGCATGTGTCATGCTGAGAAATAATTCAGATTTTTTGGTCATAAAACTGAGTTAGAAATGCATCTAATAATTTATTTAAGCTTGAGAAATACTCCCTGAGGTCATGTCTGTCTGTCTGTCTGTCTATCTATCTATCTATCACAATTTATTCCTGTTGTATCACAGCTGCAGCCCACTCCCTCGTCTCCTCCCAGTCCCACCCATCCTTCCTCTTCTCCCTGTATGCCCTTTCTCTAGTCCCCTGATAAGAACTCCACAAGGAGAACAACATAGCCAAAAAACCTGGGCCCAGGGGGTCCTGCAGAGACCAATACTCCAACCAAAGACCATGCATGGAGAGGACCTAGACTCCCTGTTCAGAGGAAGCCCATAGGCTGCTCAGTGTCCAAGTGGGTTCACTTAGGTAAGGGGATCAGGAGCCATCTCTGACATAAACTCAGTGGTTGGCTCTTTGATCACCTCCCCATGTGGGGGATGCAGCCTTGCCAGGCCACAGAGGAAGATGATGCAGCCAGCCTTCATGAGACCTGATAGGCTAGGATCAGGTAGAAGGGGAGGAGGTTATATCTTTTAATTGAGGTGCTAAGGCACTCAGTTTTTAATTTTTATTATTTATTTATTTATTTATTTATGATTTAAAAAAAATAATCATTAGCATTAGGTAGAGGTTATAAAGTTGGATAATCTTAGTTTAAGAATTACGTCAGTGACAGAAATTATGGTTTCAAGTTCCTTCTGTAAGATCTATCTCCACACCCTCAAAGAAGGAAAGAATCTTAATTTATCTTGTTTTGTGAGTGATTCAGAGTATATAAATTTCAATTTTGGGTTATCATTGTGTGTAATGTCTGTCTCAGTCCTGTTTCACAGCTCCTTTGAAGATTTCAGAAAGGTATATTATAACAAATGATAACCCTATTAAAACAGGCTCTGAGAAGAAATAAAAGACAGGATGTGGGGCTGGCTGTGAGACTGCATTATCAGATAGCTGTGTCTCAGGTGGTGGGCAGCAACTACTTTTCAAACCCTTTTAAAGCTTGTTTTATTTTATGAAAATGGATTTGAGCCACATAAGTGAAGTAAAATGAAAGCATAAAGTGCTAAATACAGCTACTGAGTTTAGGATCAGGCTTTGTTGTTTCCCTGAGAACTCTTGGTTATTGTCTGTGCTTTCTTTTACTTTTCAACCGAAGCCTCTCTTTGGAAGAATAACAACAGAAAAATGCACATATAGCCTAATAACTTGCCTTCTTTTTCATTAGCTCATTGCTGGGAAGACAGGCCAGATTGATTACCTGCCTGAAGCTCAAGTCAGCTGCTGCTGCCTGAGTCCACATCTTGAGTATGTTGCATTTGGAGATGAGGACGGAGCCATTAAGGTATTCAGTTCTAGTCTTCAGAGCTGCGACTAGAGTTACTTATTTAAAACTAATCCTATGCTTGCCATTGCACACCTGTATACTAAGCAGATCTCTCTGTGATCTAGTGGTCATATTCCATAGGTTCTACATCTACCTGGTCACTGTCTCTTTACATCACTCCTGCTTCTTGAGCTTCCTGTGTTTCTCATTCTGTAGGTGTCTTGCTGTTTTGTACATATTAAAAAGTTAAACATGTTTAGCCAACTGTACAAAAAGCATTACTCTCTCTTAGAAATAGCCATATGTTGTCATTTTCCAGACTTTTGAGAATATCTGCACAGGGCCTTCTGTGCCCACTCTTCCACCAGTTCTTGATTTTTACATTTGATGTCAGGTGTGTTCACCACCCACAATCCTGAGCATACCCAGCAAGACCAGTAAATAAAAAGAATCAGGTTCTGATGCAGAAAAGGTATTACAATGAAAATCATTTTGTATGAAAATATTCTGACCTTTATTACATTGCCGAGTTCATCACAAAAGTACCTGTTGTCTAGCTACAGGACTTAGCGAGCACTGGTTTTTCTTACCTAGGCTTTTGGGCATTGCTTTCTTATTTATCACCAGTGGCATTAGCCCCCTTTATTTTACCATGGGTTCCTTTTCAGAAGGGATTACACAAATATTCTCTAGGTCAAATTACCCCACAAGAGGAGACTAATGACTCACACACAGTGAAGAGGCAGTGATGTCAGAGCTGCTAGGTCTCCCTTGGCAGCTGTAGCCGTGTGCATTCAGATAAGACTGGGCAGTGCTGCGAGCAAGTCTCTGACAGCTGTTTGTTGGACACAGGGTTATTGTATGACTACAGGTTTTCTTAGTTTTCTCTCAGCCTCCTTTTTTGTATTGCTGTGTAGTATTCATTTGGAATGGGTCCGTGGTTTCCCTTTGCTGGTCCCCAGCACCCACATGATAATGATGAACAACCACCTGTAACTCCATTTCCAGGGATCTAAGGCTGTTTTCTGACCTCCACAGGCATGAAGCACACACGTGGCACACTTAACAAGCATGTAGGCAAACACTCATATATGTAAGAAAACCACAAAAACATCTTTTTACTACATTCTTAACTTCCTCACAGTTCTCACATAATATAAATATGCAGTGAACCATGTGAAAATGCCAATATCTGGATATTTTAATTGATTTTTAACATTTAAAAATGGCAATTAAAAAAAACAATGGCTACTGTTGACTGTTCCGTCGGATACTGTGATTCTTGTTTTGCATATGTCTGGTCTCCTAATTCCCACGGCTTCCATAAGCGGCAGAGCTTAGTAGTCCATTTTAAGTCTCGGAATGAATTGCCCAGCGACCAGTGCCACTTTGCTTTCCCTCTAGGAATATCGAATGTTCCACTCTTTTTTGAAGGTCGCAGTCACACTTTTTGCTTTGAAGTCACAGTCTTTGCTTTTTGAAGGCACATTTTTCCTAAAACATATGGATTAGATTTCTAGAATGTTCTTTTATAGAACCATCTTGTATGTTATTTTTTAATTTTTTATTTATCTTTTATTAATTACACTTTATTCATTTTGTATCCCCCCATAACCCCCCCTCTCCTCCCGGTCCCACCCTCCACCCCTTTCTGCATGCATGCCCCTCCCCAAGTCCACTGATAGGGAGGTCCTCCTCTCCTTCTTTCTGATCTTAGTCTATCAGTTCTCATCAGAAGTGGCTGCATTGTCAGGGTTCTAGGTTATCTCCATGGATAGTCCTTGATTGGAGTATGAGTCTCTGGGAAGTTCCCTGTGTTCAAATTTTCTTGTTCTGTTGCTCTCCTTGTGGAGACCCTGTCCTCTCTAGCTCTTACTATTTCCCACTTCTTACATAAAATTCCATTCACTCTACCCGTCAGTTGGCCATCAGGCTCAGCATCTGCTTTGACAGTCTGCACGGCAGAGGCTTTCAGAGGCCCTCTATGGCAGGTTCCGAGGTTGTTTCCTGTTTTCTTCTTCTGGCTTTCAGAGGCCCTCTGTAGCAGGTTCCTAGGTTGTTTCCTGTTTTCTTTTTCTTCTGATGTCCATCCTCTTTGCCTTTCAGGATGGGGATTGAACATTTTGGTTAGGGTCCTCTGTTTTGCTTAGTTTGTTTAGATGTACAGCTTTTAGTGGGTTTATTTGATATTGTATGTTTATATGAGTGAGTATATACCGTGAGTGTCTTTTTGCTTCTGGGTCAACTCACTCAGGATGATCCTTTCCAGGTCCTACCATTTACCTGCAAATTTCATGATTTCCTTATTTTTCATTGCTGAGTAATACTCCATTGTATAGATGTACCACAGTTTCTGCATCCATTCTTCAGTTGAGGGGCATCTGGGTTGTTTCCAGCTTCTGGCTATTACAAATAAAGCTGCTACAAACATGGTTGAACAAATGTCCTTGTTGTGTACTTGCGCCTCTTTTGGGTATATGCCTAGGAGTGGTATGGCTGGATCTTGAGGAAGCACTATTCCTAGTTGTCTGAGAAAGCGCCAGATTGATTTCCAGAGTGGTTGTACCAGTTTACATTCCCACCAGCAGTGGAGAAGGGTTCCCCTTTCTCCACAACCTCTCCAGCATGTGTTGTCCCTTGAGATTTTCATCTTGGCCATTCTGATGGGTGTAAGGTGAAATCTCAGGGTTGTTTTGATTTGCATTTCCCTAATGGCTAATGAGGTTGAGCATTTCTGTAAGTGCTTCTCTGCCATTCGATATTCCTCTGCAGAGAATTCTCTCTTTAGCTCTGTTCCCCATTTTTTAAGTGGATTACTTGGTTTGTTGCTTTTCAGCTTGTTTAGTTCTTTATATATATTGGATATGAGTCCTCTGTCAGATAGAGGGTTGGTGATGATTCTTTCCCAATCTGTAGGCAGTCGCTTTGTTTTGATGATGGTGTCCTTTGCTTTACAGAAGCTTTTCAATTTCATGAGGTCCCATTTATTGATTGTTGCTCTTAGAGCCTGTGCTGTTGGTGTTCTGTTCAGGAAGTTTTCTCCTGTACCAATGAGTTCTAGGGTATTCCCCACTTTTTTTTCTAGCTGATTTAATGTGTCTGGTTTTATGTTGAGGTCTTTGATCCACTTGGACTTCAGTTTTGTGCAGGGTGATAAGTATGGATCTATTTTCATTTTTCTACATGTAGACATCCAGTTGGACCAGCACCATTTGTTAAAGATGCTATCTTTTTTCCATTGTATGGTTTTGGCATCTTTGTCAAAAATCAGGTGTCCGGAAGTGTGTGGGTTTATTTCTGGGTCTTCTGTTCGATTCCATTGATCCACCATTCTGTTTCTATGCCAGTACCATGCAGTTTTTATAACTGTTGCTCTATAGTACAGCTTGAGATCAGGGATGGAGATACCTCCAGAAGATCTTTTATTGTAGAGGATTGTTTTAGCAATTCTCGGTTTCTTGTTATTCCATATGAAGTTGAGAATTTTTCTTTCCAGGTCTGTAAAGAATTGTGTTGGCAATTTGATGGGAATTGCATTAAATCTGTAGATTGCTTTTGGTAAGATGGCCATTTTTACTATGTTAATCCTGCCAAGCCATGAGCATGGGAGATCTTTCCATCTTCTCATATCTTCCTCTAATTCTTTCTTCAGAGACTTGAAATTTTTTTCATACAAGTCTTTGACTTGCTTGGTTAGGGTTACACCAAGGTACTTTATGTCATTTGTGGCTATTGTGAATGGTGTTGTTTCTCTAATTTCTTTCTCAGCCCTTTTGTCTTTTGTATACAGGAGTGCTACTGATTTTTTTGAGTTAATTTTGTATCCGGCCACTTTGCTGAAGGTGTTTATCAGCTGTAGGAGTTCCCTGGTAGAGTTTTTGGGGTCACTCATATATACTATCATATCATCTGCAAATAGTGATAATTTGACTTCTTCCTTTCCCATCTGTATCCCCTTGATCTCCTTCGACTGTCTTATTGCTCTAGCAAGGACTTCCAGCACTATGTTGAAGAGATATGGAGACAGTGGGCAGCCTTGTCTTGTCCCTGATTTCAGTGGGATTGCTTTAAGTTTCTCTCCATTCAGTTTGATGTTGGCTATAGGCTTGCTGTATATCGCCTTTACTATGTTTAGATATGTGCCTTGTATCCCTGATCTCTCCAGTACTTTAAACATGAATGGATGTTGGATTTTGTCAAATGCTTTTTCAGCATCTAGGGAGATTATCATGTGGTTTTTTTCTTTCAGTTTGTTAATATGGTGGATCACATTGATGGATTTCCGTATATTGAACCACCCCTGCATACCTGGGATAAAGCCTACTTGGTCATAGTGGATAATATCTTTGATGTGTTCTTGGATCCGGTTTGCAAGTATTTTGTTAAGTATTTTTGCATCAATGTTCATAAGGGAGATTGGCCTGAAATTCTCTTTCTTTGTTGAGTCTTTGTGAGGTTTAGGTACCAAGGTGATTGTGGCTTCATAGAATGAGTTTGGTAATGTTCCTTCTGTTTCTATTTTGTGGAATAGTTTGAAGAGAATTGGAGTTAGCTCTTCTTTGAAGGTCTGGTAGAATTCTGCGCTGAAGCCATCTGGTCCTGGGCTTTTTTTGGATGGGAGACTTTTGATGACTGCTTCTATTTCTTTGGGGGATATAGGACTATTTAGTTGATTTACCTGGTCCTGATTCAGCTTTGGTGAGTCAAATCGATCAAGAAAATTGTCCATTTCATTTAGATTTTCAAATTTTGTGGCATATAGACTTTTGAAGTAAGTCCTAATGATTGTTTGGATTTCCTCAGTGTCTGTGGTTATGTCCCCCTTTTCATTTCTGATTTTTTTGATTTGGGTGGTGTCTCTCTGCCTTTTAGTTAGCTTGGCTAAGGGTTTGTCGATCTTGTTGATTTTCTCAAAGAACCAGCTCTTGGTTTCATTGATTCTTTTAATTGTTTTATTTGTTTCTAATTGATTGATTTCAGCCGTGAGTTTGATTATTTCCAGCCGTCTACTCCTTTTTGGTGTGTCTGCTTCTTCTTTTTCTAGGGTTTTTAAATGGGCCATTAAGTTGCTTGAATGAGCTGTCTCGAGTTTCTTCTTGAAGGCACTTAGTGCTATGAACTTTCCTCTTAGCACTGCCTTCATTGTGTCCCACAAGTTTGGGTATGTTGTGTCTTCATTTTCATTGAGTTCTAGGAAGACTTTAATTTCTTTCTTTATTTCTTCCCTGACCCAGCTGTCATTTAGTATCAAGTTGTTCAGTTTCCATGTGTGTGTAGGCTTTTTGCTATTTCTGTTGTTGTTGAAGTCCAGCTTTATTCCATGGTGATCAGACAAGATACAAGGGATTATTTCAATCTTCTTGTATCTGTTGAGGCTTGCTTTGTGACCAACTATATGGTCTATTTTGGAGAAGGTTCCATGAGGTGCTAAGAAGAAGGTAAATTCTTTTGTGTTTGGGTGTAAAGTTCTGTAAATGTCTGTGAGGTCCATTTGATTCATGACCTCTGTCAGAGATACTGTTTCTTTGTTTAATTTCTGTTTTGTTGACCTGTCCGTTGTTGAGAGTGGGGTGTTGAAGTCTCCCACTATTAATGTGTGGGGATCTATATGTGGTTTAAATTTTATCAATGTTTCTTTTACAAATGTGGGTGCTCTTGTATTTGGGGCATAGATGTTCAGGATTGTGATGTCTTCCTGGTGGAATTTTCTCTTGATGAGTATGAAGTGTCCTTCCCCATCTCTTTTTATTAATTTTGGTTGAAAGTCTATTTTATCAGATATTAGAATGGCTACTCCTGCTTGTTTCTTGGGTCTATTTGTTTGGAAAGTCGTCTTCCAACCTTTTACCCTCAGGTAATGTCTATCTTTGTGTCTTAGGTGTGTTTCTTGTATGCAACAGATTGCTGGGTTTTGTTTACGTATCCATTCTGTTAATCTGTGTCTTTTTACTGGAGAGTTGAGTCCATTGATGTTGAGAGAGATTAATGACCAGTGGCTGTTAGATCCTTTGATTTTGATGTTGACTGTGGTCATAAGTTTGTGTGCTTGGTTGCTTTTTGTTTTACTGTAGTAAAGTTAATTATTTCCTGTGTTTTCTTGACAGAAGCTAATTTTCTTGGGTTGTATTTTCCCTTCCAGTGTCTTCTGTAATGCTGGATTTGTGTGTAGGTATTGTTGAAATTTGTTTTTGTCATTGAATATCTTGTTTTCTCTGTCTGTGAGGACTGAGAATTTTGCAGGGTATAGTAGCCTGGGCTGACATCTGTGTTCTCTTAGGATCTGCATGATATCTGTCCAGGCCCTTTTGGCTTTCATAGTCTCTATTGAAAAGTCAGGTGTGATTGTAATGGGTTTGCCATTATATGTTACTTGGCCTTTTTTCCTTGCAGCTTTTAGTATTTTTTCTTTGTTCTGTATACTTACTGTTTTGATTTTTATGTGGCGGGAGGATTTTCTTTTCTGGTCAAATTTGTTGGGAGTTCTGTAGGCCTCATGTATTCTTATTGGCTTCTCCTTTAACTTGGGGAAATTTTCTTCATGATTTTGTTGAAAATATTTTCTGGGCCTTGGAGAAGGGAGTCTTCTTTTTCCTCTATACCTATTATTCTTAGGTTTTGTCTTTTCATATTGTCTTGGATTTCTTGGACGGTCTGTGTCAGGAATTTTTTGGATTTAACATTTTCTTTGACAGATACATCGATTTCTTCCATTGTATCTTCTACACCTGAGATTCTTTCTTCCATCTCTTGTAGTCTGTTGGTTATGCTTACCTCTGTAGTTCCTGTTTTCTTCCCTAAATTCTTCCTCCCCATTATTTCCTCCATTTGTGTTTTCTTTAATTTTTCCAGTTCTATCTTCAGGTCTTGAGTTGTTTTGTTTACTTCCTTCACCTGTCTGCTTGTATTTTCCTCTTTTTCTTTTAGTTCCTTCAACTCTGTTTCTTTTATTTCTTTCAGTGATTTAATTATTTCTTCTCTGAAGGCCACAAACTGTTTGGCTGCATCTTCCTGTATTTCTTCACAGATGGCCATAATCTGCTTGTCTTTATCGTTCTCCATTTCTTTACGGATAGCCATGATCTGTTTGGTTTTATCTTCCTCTAATTCTTTATGTATTTTATTTGTTTCCTCTATTATCCTCTTCATCAGCATAGATGTAGGTTATCTTCTTGATTTTCTATTCTGCTGTGTTGTCCAGGGCTTTTCGCCCCTGGATGGCTGGGTTCTGGAGATGCCATAGTGCTCTGTCTTTTGTTGGTTGAACTTTTATGCTGACCTCTACCTATTGAGCTGTTTTAGGTGTTGGCTGTTAGTTTCTGTGCTTCCTGGAGTCCTGAGGTAGGGAGAATCCCCTTGGCTGGAAGATGATTTTTTCCTGAAGGAGTCCTCCTCTGCTTTTTGGTTATGGTCACTGTATGGCTAGTGTTTCTCAGGAATTGCTGCTGCTCACCTCAGGTGTATAGCCCTGAGTAGTAGCTGTGGTCTTTGTTAGGCAGAGGGGATCTCCTCTTACCCACAGAAGTTCTCAAGACAGCTGCCCCACTGCTGGGTTTCTCGTTTTAAATTTAGTGAGCTGCTGCTGTTGTTACAGTTTTCCAGGTACAGTCCTCTTGAAGAACCTGTTGATTCCCTAGCTGTGGGGTTTTCTCCCAATAGGGAAACTCAGTCTGTTATCCTGGGGCACACAGTTCTGTCCGGGAAAGTGAGAGGAGCGCCCAGCAAGTCTCTGGACCAGAGGCTGATTGCTCTACTCTGGCCCTGGAGAATGTGCACCTAGGTTGAGTTGGCACCTGGAGGCGCCACTCTGGTCTGGAGGCTGGTAACTGAGGGCTCCACTCTGATCTGAAGGCTGGGTGCCTCAGTCTGGACCGGAAGCTGTTTGTCCCTGTCTGGGATGTAGGCTGCAGGCACTGCTCTGGTCCAGACACTGTGGGTGTAGCCCTCTTGAAGGACCAGGGATTCCCACAGTTTTGTCAGTCTAGCTAGGGATAACTGGTTGATCCTTGTCACAGTATCTGAGGGCTGCTGTAATGGCTCTCTGGCTTTTGTATGTCTGAGGATGCAGCTGTGTGTCCCAGTGCCCTATGGGAACTCAATAATGGTGGCTGAGCACAGCGCTCTTGCCTGTATTAGAAAGCTTGAGCCTAGAGTCTGCGTGAATCCAGAAAGTCTTTTGGTGCTGGGTGTCCTGATTGTTAGACCTGATGATCCCCCCCGCTGGGGGTTTCCTCCTGCCAGGGACACCCAGTCTTTGCTTTGGGGACCGGCGTTCTGTCTAGGGTGTCGAGTAGAACCCACAGGCACGGACGCCCGCCCGTGGCTCCGCCTTTCTGGCCTTTAGGAGCCTGTGCGTCTGCCTAAACTGGGTAATTTCCCCGAGACCTTTTCGGGGTGGGGGTGTCGGCTGAGTGTTCTGAGATCAGACCAGCCGTTTCCCTCCCTGTGGGTTTGCACCTGACAGTGAAACTCAGTCTCTGGTGCCTGGTGCCCTGGTGCCCACAGTTCTATTTGAGGCGGCGAATCAGGCAGGGCTCTGTGCAGGCGCCTGGGTCCCTGGCTCTGGCTTCTGGCTGGCTCCTGGGGTGCCCACAGAACCCGAGTCTTTTCCAGGGGATGTCTGGGTGACCTAAGGTCAGTCCCAATCATTTCCTGCTCCGTGGGGTTATCTCTCGACTGGGAAATCCAGTCTATGGTGTTGTGGGCCCACAGTTCAGTCTGGGACAGTGACCAGATCACGCTGGCGTATAGCTCTGGGCTGGCGACCAAGCGCCTGGCGGAACCAGGATCTCTTTTGCAGTTTAGCTGGGTGAGTTAAAGCTGATTGAATCCCCCACCGTGGATACCCACCGTGGGGTATCCTCTCACCTGGGAAACACAATCACTTGTGTTTTATGGCCGCGAGTTCTGATTGCTGGTCACTGTGCCGATCCTGCTGTGCTACTGCTCAGAATGAGAGTCCTCCCGGCGCCGCCAGGCCCATCACTACTTTCTAAAGCTCTGTGTTTGGCCTTCTAAAGCTTGTTATTATTGCACTGTTCTCCAGCCTTCTCTAATCCCTATACCTTGTCAGCCTTTATATCTCCTTAATCTGTTCCCCCTGAAGAGCTTGCCTTGTGTGATGCAGGATTTTTATCCTTTTCTCTTTCTCACTCTTCATAAACTGCCATTTTTATTTTGGAGACTGAGCCCAGACTGTCGCTTCTTTTGATGACTTGGGTAGTTGAGCACTGAAAAGAGTCACTGGTTCCTCCTGCCATTTGGCCATTTCAGTGGCTACTCGGTTGGGGCTGGGGGATCAGGTGTGTGCATATACATGTGAGCGTTGTTGGGGGTGTGGTGCCTAAGTATTGCTTCATTTCCCTGCATTGATTTTTTGTGGTTTTTCTGTTTTGAAGATTATAGAACTTCCAAACAACAGAGTTTTCAGTTCTAGGATTGGGCACAAGAAGGCTGTGCGGCACATCCAGTTCACTGCTGATGGGAAGACACTCATTTCAAGTTCTGAAGATTCTGTAATTCAGGTGAGAGAATGAAAGAGCTAACATTTGCACATTAGGGAGAGGAACAAAAGGACACTTCATATTAATGCTGTGCTAAAACTTGGTCACTTAAACTATTTTGGGTGTATATTCTGACTGTACATATAGGCTTTATAGAGTCTATAGTTCATATTTTTCTGTGGGTGTGGCATGGTAGGCAGTGCACAGAGAATGTTACTTATTTTGAGTTAAGTATTTAAATTCTTCCTGTCTTGGCATTGATATTTATATGTATACTTATATTTTTGCCACTTTATTCTATTTATTATTTGTTTTATTTTATTTATAAAGAAATAAAATAATTTTTTACTTTCATGACTAAATTTTGTCTTAAATTTTTTGTTTTTGTTTTGTTTTTGTTTTGGTCATTCTTATTTTCTGAGTCAAGGCCTTGCCATGTAGACCTAGATGGCCTAAAACTTGCTTTGTACAGACCAGGCTTTCTTTTAACTTTTGGCAATCTTTGTGTCTCAACCGCATGAATGCTGGGATTACAGCCATGTACCACCATGCCAGCTCCAATTTACATGATTTATCCTGTCTTATTAAGAATAACATTTATTGTGGTATTAAAGTTCTACCAAAAAAATTAAAATCAGTTTCCATAATTATGTATAGTGAGACTTTGAGTTCACCCTATATTTTCTTAAAATTCATTTAATTTTTATTAAGTTCTAATACATATATTTCAAAACCATATGATGTTTATTACACCGGTAGCTTATTGATATTTAGGTATTTTTAGATCTTTGTGATCTTGTCTTTTGATGTTTACCTTCATGCCTCCATATGGCAAGCTTGTAGTGCTATCCTAAATTTTCCACCTGGAGAATTGCTGACGTTTCAATGGTGGGGATTTAACATTTGTTCTCCCACCTCTTCTGTCTTCAACATGTGTGCACGCATACATGGACTCAGAGCCATTTGTCAGACCCGCCATCACAAGAGTGTTGACAAAATTGTGCTTAGATCCTAAATATCCCAACTATGACCAAGCAGCCTGTGTACTAAAGGGTATTGCGAATTCAGTTCCTGTCTTTTTATTTTTTATTTATTTTTAATTTTTAGATAGGCTTTTACTATGTAGTTAGGCTGTCTTGGACCTCGCCATGTAGCATAGGCTTCTTGGTCTTAAACGCAATATTTTCTTGCCTCAACATCTTAAATTCTGAGATTACAGGCATGCACCACACCTCATGGTTTCAATTCCTATGGTAACAGAAAAATTCAGTCTTTGATTACATGTGGCTGCAGATTTTACTTTAAAACTTTAAAGGCTCATTTTTCCCTCTAATTTCTAAAATTTATATTATTAAGTCTAAAGTTGTTCTGACTTTTTGTTTTGTTTTGTTATTGAGATAGAATCTCACTGTGTAGCTCTGCCTGTCCTGGATCTCACTGTGTAGACCGGGCTGGCCTTGAGCTCATAGAGCTCCTTCTGCTTCTGCCTCCCATGCCGGGACTAAAGACATGTGCCACCATTCTAAGTCTTTAAATCCTTGTGGGAGATTTTGAAATCTTCCCTGTGGTTGCACAATTGTGGAATGTCATGATAACGTACCTTGGTGTGCACTAGTTGCTGTCTATTTTGTTTATTTTGTTAGTTTCTTTTAAGGAAACTTACTCTTAAATTCAGACTTCACTTATTTATTTCTTCTTTTCTCTTTTCCTCCTCTGGTCCTATCTGATTATCTTTTTATAGAGCCCATTATTCATTTATTGGCCAGTCCTCTTGTCCTCATTTTTGGTTTAGTGTTTGAGCAGGGTCCTTTATAGCCAGGCCAGCTTTGAACTTACCATGTAGCTGAACATGGCCTTTTGGTTCTTCTGCCTCCGTCTCCTGGGGCTAGCCATGTACCACAGCACTTGCAGTCTCTCCCTGCACTTACACTTTTTATACTGTCCTGTGCATTCTGAATTTCTTTTTAGGTTTTATATTTTTACCCCTCTTACTGATTTTTTCCTAGTTCTGTCATATTTTTAATGTCCAAAAACGTCTTTCTTTCTTTTCTTTTTTTTTTGAGATAGGGCTCACTCTGTAGCTCAGGTTTACTTCAATCTTGTTAATGTAACGTAGGCTGGCCTTGACCTCAGAAGGATCCACCTGCCTCTGCCTCTAGAGTGCTGGGATTACATGCATGTGTCACCACTCCCACCCTAGCAAGTGTTCTACACCTTGGCTAGACTCCTAGTTTGTTTGTTTGTTTTTTCACTTGAGGCAGGGTTTCTCTGTGTAGCCTTGGTTGTCCTAGACTCATTTTATAGAACAGGCTAGCCTCGAACTCACAGAGATTCATGTGCCTCTGCCTCCGACTCCTAGTTTTATTTAATGCATATTTCTTATGCTGGCAACTTTTAACTATCTCATTAAAAACTGTCTTGGAAAATCACTTGCTGTATTGTGTCCTTGTGAAGGTATGGGATCGGAAAGAAATTTGGTTTTAATACAGAAACTTTATTATTAGGCTCCCATGATTCATATAACAGTCACATTTCTTCCTCTCCAGATGCCTTTGAAATGGAGAAACTTTAACTACATCAGATAAATCCTGTTGGGACATTATATGCAGTGTGAACTTAAATTCATAAGGTTTTATGACCTGTTTCGAGATATTCTCAGCCAGAGGGAAAAATAATTTTTAGAAATATTTTTAGAATAGGAGCTATTTTTAAGAATACAAGTTGTATTTTATCTTCTTTTTTTGGACTGCTCAGAATGATTTTTATGTATAATGCTTTTAAAATATGCTTATTTTATGTGAGTACTCACACATAGGCACACCTTGGACTCAAGCGAGCTCATGTGGAGGTCAGAGTACAATGTGCAGGAAATGGTTCTCTTCTGCCATGTGAATTCCAGGGATCCAGCTCAGGCTGTGAGGCTTAAAAAGTATGGGCTTGCTGGGTGTGGTGGTGCTTGCCTTTAATCCAAGCACTTGGAATCGGAGGCAGCTGGATCTGAGGCCAGCCTTGTCTATATGGTGAGTTCCAAGACAACCAGGACTATGTAAAGATAGTTTCTCTTAAAAAAAAAAAAAAAAGGACCGCTTCATAAATTTTCATGTCATTTTTGCACAGGGTCCATGCCAATCTTTTCTGTGTAGTTCCAATTTTACTGTGTGTGTTGCCAAAGCAAGTGCAAGTTACAGCGTTTTAATGCTCCATGTAAAGAAACTCTTGGCAGGTATTTCTGAGAAATGATGGATTGATTTTTTTTCTTTTTTAATATATTGTGTGTGTGTTTTAAGTCTGGGTCTCATACAGCTCAAATTGGTCTTGAACTTACTTTATAACCAAGGCTGGCTTGAACTCCTGATCCTACTGCCTCTTTTGCCCAAGTGCTGGAATTGTAGGTGTGTGCAGTCGTACCTAGCTTTATTTTAGTAAATGATTGAACGAAGGTTTGTTTTAATCCTTTTGCATCCCCAGCCTGAGACATAGGTTTAGTGAATCTCTGTCAAGTTAAAGTTATTAGTAGAATTAGAATTACCCGCCTGATGATAGCACTCAACCTTGTGAAAACTGGTTTGTTTTTATAGATTTTTGACTCTCTACCTTGAGGTAAATGAAATTCATGTATCAGCTATGCTTACCTGATGATAAAAATATATTAGTTTTTAAGGTATAAGAAATCTTGTAGTCCTTCTTCTTCAGCCTTCCCAGTGCTGGGACTATAGGCATGTCCAGTCACCCATCCATCTATCTATCTATAGTATGCATACTCATAAAAATTCTTGTTAATGATAGGCATCCCCAAGTTCAACTTCAATGCATTTGATTAAGGCTGGTAGAACTTTATTATGCTGAGGTGATTCAGTTAACACAGTGTGTTTTGAGTTCAGTTAAAAGCACCACTGTCATTGTCAAGTCAGAAAATGTCTTTGAGACAGCTATTACTCTCCATTTTGGAGGTTCTCTGTAGCAGAAGTTGTTGAAGGTTCTCTTTCCTGAGGTAGAGGGCAGCAGGAAGAACCTCAGTCAGGATGGTCTTTGAATAAGCACAGCCCAGAACATTAAAATTGGAAACGTGTTAAGCATAGTCATTGCTCCTCAAGACTGCTCAAGCCCAGAAAGGGAAGGAGGGAGCCAGGACATTCTAGTGGAAATGGATTAAGGTGCTTATGTCTTGTCATACAGGGTGCCGTGACCATTTGGTATGACTTGGGGAGCCAGAAAGGCCCACGTTACTTCCCCCATCCCACAGGCTCCCAGCACTAGTTTTTAGACCGCTGAAGTGTCTAAGCTTCCCATGCTCCTCTGGACCACCGTCACTTCTAGTCCTTCTTCTGCAGTGTCCTGCTTACACAACAGATCCTACTCTTAGTGAGCTCACTTCTTTGTGAATGTCTCAAGCTAGAAGACAGGAAGCGATCCCAAACCAACACCTGCTGGGGGAAGATGGCTGCTGTGTGTGGTAGAGCAAGGGAAAGTAAGATCTGATAGGAAAAGGCTTCTGCTGTTTGCGTTCACTCACGCTAGAGCCACACTGTTAGTAATGTACATACTGTGTAGCGGCTGCTTTGTTAAGTCTTCATACTCTTTTGCAAGCATCTGATAACTATATTCATTGGACTCTGACTCTCAAGGCTGTTTCTTTCAATACTTTCACAACTTTTTTTTATTCATTCACTGCATTTAAAAAGTTCTCAGTTTGTGACTCTTTAAAAAAAAAACTTCCTAAAAAAGAATTGTTTATTTTACGAGTGTTTGTGTGCATGTATGTATATGTGTTATGTGTGTACCTGGTGCCCTTGGAAGTCAGAAGAGGGTGTTGGATCGCTTGGAATTAGAGTTATGGATGGCTGTGAACCACCACGTGGGTGCTAGGATTAGAACCTGAGTTTTCTTTCCTGCCCACCTCCTCTCACGTGCATTGAGTGCTGACCCCTATCAAACTGTCTTGAAGGAATCACTCTTTCAAATTTCACAGTTAATATCTTTGTGTAGGATTTTTTTTTTAAATGTCTCATTTCTTAGGTTTGTTCATAGTAGACCCTTGTTTGAGTCACATCTGCCTTACTTGAAAACCTGTTTATTACATTACTTGTTGTCAAGAATTTAAAAGCCAGTAAACACTGTTGCTTTGATTTAGTAATGGACTAGTTCTGCATATTGACACGACATAGAAATTTTTGTTCACTGCTGTGCCGCAGATGTTCTTGTTTGCTGATTTGTCTTGGTTGCTGGAACTGCTTCAATTCTTCCTTGTCTGTTTGTGGCTAAGAACCTCTTCCCTAAGCTGTTGTAAAATAAGAGTACCTATTGCTGCTTCTTTTCTTCTGAGAATTGCATGGAGGGCTATCTAAGTCTTTTGGAGCTTGGAAACTCCACGACCTGTTTCTACACTCCTGGCTCCCTGACCCTTAGGGCGGTAGAGCAGCTTCCCTGGTGGCTGTCTGCAGCTTCACCCGACGTGCAGCCTTGCAAATCTGCACATACATAATTGGGATAATTTTCTCTGGAAAATTTAATCAGATGGTGAGCTCACTGGCATATTGTAGGTTTTTTTCTATCTGGTGGTTTAATTAACTACTCTCCAAGCAACTGTAGAAAACAAATTTATTTAGGAGGAAAGTGTTTTACTTTGCCCCCCAGTCAAGCTAATTAACTTCAACTTTTTCTCTTTGTAAAACACAGAGACAATATTCTCTGTTACTTCCCTGTTTGAGATACTATGAAGATAAAGGACTAGATAAGAGAATATTTACCCTCTTTTCAGTGGGATGTAATTGGGGGAGGTTTATAACAGATGTTTCTTTGATATCCAGGTATGGAATTGGCAGTCAGAGGACTTTGTCTTTTTGGAAGCCCATCAGGAAACAGTGAAGGACTTCAGGCTCTTAAAAGATTCAAGATTGCTTTCTTGGTCATTTGATGGAACAGTGAAGGTAATTTGAATCCCAGATCTTTTTAAAATGTTTTTTTTTTAATTATTTTGAAAATATTCTCTTTATTTTTCTATATGTATGGGTGTTTGGCTTACATGTATGTCTGATCCATGTGTGTGCTTGGTATTCTCAGAGGCTAGAAGAGTACAAGGAACATCCGATTCTCTAGAACTAGAGTTGCAGATGCTTGTGTGACCCAAACACCAGATTTTAAAATATTATATATGTATGTATGTATGTATGTATGTATGTATGTATGTATGTATGTATGTATGTATTTTGAAACAAGCTCTCACTATGTAACTCTAGTTGGTCTGGAACTTGAATGTAGGCCAGGCTGGCCTTGAACTCACAGAGATACACCTGCCTCCTGAGTATCTGGGACTAAAGGCATGTGTACTACCATATCCAGACCCGGACTTTTCTTTTAATGAAAACATTCTGATGTTGCTGTAATTATAGTGTGGCAGCATTTAAAGCACATGAATGTTAAGTCATTAAGTGAAAAACTTTCAGTATTACGCCCGTTTTCTATTCAGTGCAGTCATCTACATCTGTTGTATGTTTGTAAGCATTTATGTTAAAGGAAGCATAAGGGATCAGAACAGCTACTGTTCTAAAACTTGTTTTTTGGTATGTTTTGTAGCTGATTGTGTTCTTTAAAATTTTTTTATTTGTATGGGTGTTTTGCTTGCATGTATGTCTGTACCGCGCACATACAGTACCCATGGAGGCTGACCCACAGAGGCCAAAAGCATTGACTCTTTTGGAACTGGAGTTAGATGGTTGTGAGCCATCTTGTAGGTGCTGGAAACCTGGATCCTCTGGGAAAGCAGCCAGTGCTCTTAACCACTGAGCCTTTCCAGTCCCCTTTCATCAAACCTCCTCATCTCAAGGCATCCTTCCTTCCTTTCTCCTCTCCTTGTTTTTCGATTCTAGGAATCAAACCTGGGCTTTGCACATGCTAAGCAAGCATTCTGCCAGTAACCTACATTCCCTTCCCTTGTTTTTTTGAACTGTGCTACGTAGCCCAAGTTGGCCTCGAACCTGTTGTCCTCCTGCTTCTGTTTCCCCTTACCTTGGGGTTACCATTGTGCTTCATCATGTATGACAAAAAAATGTTCTTAAGAGTGTTACCTAATCTTTTTCTTTCCCCTCTTAAGGTATGGAATATCATTACTGGAAGAATAGAAAAAGACTTCATTTGTCACCAGGGTACAGTACTTTCTTGTGATATTTCTTCTGATGCTGCCAAGTTTTCATCTACCTCTGCTGATAAGACTGCAAAGGTCAGTTATCACGTAAAGTGTCCATGTATAAAACTTTTGGTATTGATTATCATGAGTCCAAATAATATATAAGGCAGGGTAGTGACAGATTCTATTTACATATTTATATCAAATGTAATAATTTATTTGTGTATTTGTGTGTGTGTGTGTGTGTGTGTGTGTGTGTGTATGTGACAGAGAGAAGGAGCCTGCCTGAGTCGTAGTGCTGTGTATAGGTAAGAGGACAATGCTGGATGTTTGTTCTTTCCTCCCTCCTTGTTGAGGCAGGTCTCATTGTTTCTACTGCTTTTGCTTGTTGTGACTCCAGACCCAGAGTCTCCCAGGTGATTTTCCTGTTTCCATCTCCCACCCTGCCACAGGAATGCTGTAGCTAACAGATACAGGCTGCTGCATCCAGCTTTTTACAGAGTCGGGTTGTTGTGCTAATGAGGCCAGTGCACTGGCTGAGCCATCTCTCTGACCCCTGTCTCATATTTTAGGACATGTACTGCTAGAACTTTCACTCCCTCTAATCTTATTTGATCTTCATATCATGGGAGTCATCATTCCAATTTTGCATATACAGAAACGAAAGCTAGAGGATTATGTGATCTGCCTGAGGTCACACACTTTTTGAGGATGCCCGTTAGCATTCATTTGCTGCTGGATAATCTAAGTGAATAACATTTAATAATTCTGATTCTCCTTTATTGCTGTATATTATGTGCAATAAAACTAATTGAAAGGGTTGTAAGTAGACACAATTTTATTCACTTGGTGTAAGCAGATACTTCTGAAGTTTTGTGATTGTGCTTCTAGCTTGGGGACTGTCAGCACGACATTCTCTTCTCTGTTCCTCCATCTTTGTTAATGACATCACTATCTAGCTGTCTCTGGGGCTTTTGTTTATTGCTGTGTTTTAGTTCCATCTGCTCTTCCTTGTTTCTAGAGACCATGCTTTCTTCCCTAGTGACTGGTGTGCAGCCTCTTGGGCGCGTCCTTCACTCTATCCTTCCTGCTGCCTCTTAAGGCTTGTTGAAACACCTATCGTGTTGCTTTCCCGGCAAGCGCTTTGATCCATCGCGGCCTTTCTTTTCAGCCACTTCCTCTGTTTCTGCCTATCCCCACCTCCATCTTGGTGTGTAAGTTGTGGCACATCATTTTAGACCCATGTTTCCTGTTAGCTCTTCAGTGAAGCCCTTTCTGACTCTCAGGCAGCATTAGCTGCACTACCTTCAGAGTTTCTATCATGTTTTATTTGTGCTCCTTGGGGCATTTCAGCTGTTCACAAAAATATTCTTGAGCTGCTTTCTTGATTAAACTGTAAACTTCAAGGAAAGGGATTATGTCTACTTCATCTCATACCGCAAGTTTTTGGTAGTGCCTGGAACATGGCAACTTTCAGTAGGTTCTGGATAAATGGTAATAATAGAATCGCAGGGAGAATATTGGAAGGAAAAGGACAGCATGCTGGATCTGATGTTACACAGCTTTAGAGGCAGGAGGATCTCTGTGAGTTCAAAGCCAGCCTGGGCCCCTGTCTCAAAAAAAAAAAAAAAAAAGACATTTGCCCAGCAGTGATATTGTAGGCAGTATGGTGGCTAATCTTTAAAGAGCTTTAATGGTGTGTAATGTCCTATGCCAGACATTTGGTTCTCTGTAATCCCATTTAATCATCACACTGCAGGAATCATTGTCCTCATTTTATGAGCGCAGAAACTGAAGCTAGAGAAACCGTGAGTTGTCACAGGTCACAAACATTTAGTAGAGTGGACCTTCTGTCTCACCCTGTGAACTGTTCTTAACTGACTCTCTGTTTTTTCCTTGTAAGCATTAACACAAAGGTAAGAAAGCTGACTCTGGTTCTTGAGCTACATTTAACTTGAATAATTAATTAAAGGGAAGTCCCCCAAAACTGACAAGGTTGCAGTTTGGAGTCTGGGCATCCTGTGAAAGTTTATGCACCACCAAATGTCTTCACTTGCATGTGATCGATCTTTGACCGTGTAGCAGCAGGGCAGGCCTTATAGATGCTGAGAGTGTGCTCACTATTCCTAAACAGTCCCAATTGCCTTCCAGATATGGAGTTTTGAATTCCTTTCACCTCTTCATGAGTTGAAGGGCCATAATGGCTGTGTCCGATGCTCTGCCTTCTCACTGGATGGCATCCTGTTGGCAACTGGAGATGACAATGGAGAAGTCAGGGTAAGGCTGCTTGAAGTAGCATTTCCCCTTTGGGTTGGGTGCCATTCTTCCCCACACTGAGGTTGTTTGCTTGATGTTTTCTGAAAGAGAGTCTTGCAATACAGCTTAGGGTGGCTTCAATCCACAATTCAATTTTACCTGGTCTGACTCCAAATCTTCCTGTTTTAGCCTTCCAAATTCTGGGATTACAGCAGCTTGGAGGCCTCTTTTAATGGGACAGGAACGCACAGGTCCTGGGGTTTTGGTTGGATGAAGCACTTTCTGCTGTCTTTCTTGTGCACACTACAGTCATAGCCACTTTCACCCCAGGAAGGAATGTATTTTAGAATTAGATAAGTCAGGTGTCCTGTTGGTATACACCTTTAATCCCAACTGTCTGAAGGCAGAGGCAGGCATATCTCTGAATTCAAAGCCAGCCTGGTCTATATAAAATGAGTTCCAGGCCAGCTGGGGCTACGTAGTAAGATGTTGTCTTAAAAAATCTTTCTAAATAAATAAATAAATAAATAAATAAATAAATAAATAAATAAGTGTTCGTAGTAAGATGTTGTCTTAAAAACCTTTCTAAATAAATAAATAAATAAATAAATAAATAAATAAATAAGTGTTACCCAGACATTTTCTACCTGTGTAAGTAGGTATTTTTATTTGGTTCTCTGATGTTAGTTTGTGAATGATTTGTCTTAATAATTTTGTAAATCATTGGGCATAAATGAATTGCAAATTCAGCTTTTTCTCATTGTGTAAAATAGAGATCTTTTTAGTCCTCTACCCATTAGTCAGGTTTGCTGCAGTCCTCTTTGGACTGTCTGTCTTTGTTAATGAAGCTGTACTGAGGCTCACATTTCCATCATGGAGTCCAAACGAAGAGCCAGTTTTCATCACTCTGAAGTTCCAAAGTTACACATCAACTGTGCCTGCTTCATGTGGGAAACAGTTTCAAGAGTTATGGCATGCTATGCTTTCGTGTCTGTGGAAAGGCCAGTATTGAAAGTACCGCATGCTAGAGATTAGAAACCATGGAAAAGCAGCCAGATTACGTGTGGTGTTAGAACAATTGTACAGAAAGTGAAAACTTGGACACTGGGATAGTTGCTTTGGTCACCATTTTGTTGTTGTTGTTTTTAATTTTTATTTTCTTATGTGTTTGGCCTGCATTTATCTGTACACCACATGCATGCTTGGTGACTGAGGAGGTCAGAAGAAGTGTCTGATCTGGCACTGGACTTATGGATGTTGTGAGCCATTGTGTGGGTGCTCGGTCTTGAACTTGGGTCCTCTGAAAGAGTAGCCAGTACTTTTAATTGCTGAGTGATCTCTGCAGCTTTGCTTACCAGTATATTTGAGGAGAATGCATTTATTTCTGGTGGTGGGCTTGCTGTTTTTGTTTGTTTGCTTTTAAGACGAGGCATTAAAAGTCAGGAGGTGTAGGTATAATGCAGAGAAATAGGGGAGTTTGCCCTTGCAGGAGTAGAGACTCTGTTGGGCTTTCCAAGAAAGTTATTATAATTCCTGATCTGTCTTATTCACACATTGTCTAGAATTTCAATGATGAAATCCTCCTTTATTTTTTTAGTTTTGGGACACAGGGCCTCATCATGTTGCCCTGTGTTTGAACTCAAAGTTTTCCTACCTCTGGTTCCTGAGCAGCTAGAAGTAGAGGTGTATGCCACCATGCCTGCTTTGCTCTCCTAATTCAGTGGAAATTGATAGCATTCTCATCCAGCACACTATTATTTTTGTTTTTAAAGAAAGAGGTCCAGATATATCATAGATGATGTATATATATACTTTGAAACTGGTAAACCTTCAAGGTTGTACTGTTAATGAATTATGTATCATGTTTCTGTAGATCTGGAATGTCTCCAGTGGCCAGCTTCTTCATTTATGTGCTCCGATTTCAGTAGAAGAAGGAACTGCTACCCATGGAGGCTGGGTGACCGATCTTTGCTTCTCTCCTGACAGTAAAATACTTGTCTCTGCGGGAGGATATCTTAAGGTAAGTGTTAATCAAGGATGCGAAAGGAAGCAGTCTGTGTCATGTCTCGGTGGTTTTCACTTGCGTTTCCTATAACACAGAGGAGAGGAAGGGAGGTTGTTATGCCCACTTTATAGTAGTAAGACCCACATCTGCAAGTCTACTTTCTCCATGTCTCTCAGGGTCTTTGGTGATGGCAGTAGCAATGTGAGAGCTTTTATCTCCCCATCTGAACCTACATGGCCCTGATTCATCTCCCATGACACTCAATAGTAAATATTTTGATTGGAATTATTTAAAAATGTATTTGTGAATTTTTTCTTGATAATAATAGTAGCAGCATATTGATTAACTTATAATAAATAGAGTTTTATTTCTGTCAGCCCACTAATCACTTTATGATGCTGAAGTTTTGCTACCTTTGGGTTATAGATGAGCAAAAATGCTTTTCATGGTGGTTATAACTTTCCTAAAATGTTGTAGTTACAAGTACCAAGTCTCATAGCAGGCCTCCTGCATCTTCACTCGTCGGTAACAAGATGTCTTCTGCACACTCAATAGCGACTACTGAGGCCAAGGCTTTCGCATGTTATAGGGCTCCAAGGTCATCTATTGGCCCATTTGTCCATTCATTAAGACTGTGTTTAGTGCCTGCTGTGTGGTGTGGTACATATTGTAGGCTTCTCCCTTCCCAGAGGTGGCTAATGTTCCATACAGGAACCAAACGAGAAATAAAGTCCCTAAAGTATAGCAGGGGCCTGAGAGACTTTTGCAAGAGGGAAGTGGAGGCACAAAGGAGAGGAATGGACAGTTTGTTTGTAAAAGGGGTAAAGGATACTATACATTATGACGACCACTTGGTCATTCTGTAAGCTTTGTCATTTACAACTGGTCCCGTAAGATTTTGTGAGATGGCTGATGCTTACTGAAAGCTGCCAGGTGGAGATGATTCTTGTTACCTCACAATACAGAGGTTCAGATGTGTTTGAATGAAGTATTTGATTGTAAGGGTCTCACCTTATTGCAGTTTTACTAAACATAAATATCTAGCTTATACAAGATAAATGAGGGGCTGTTTTCAGTTGTGAAATGATACCTCTACAGCCTGCATTAGAAATAAAAGTCTCTTAATGTTGTATTAATGCATACCTTTTGGGTACACTTTCATTTAGTCATCAAGAGCTCCTGGGCTGTTCATGCCACTTGTCCCCTTTAGTGTAAGGATAAAAACTGAACTCTGAGGATGGTGCTTATAGGAGAGCTGTTGCTATCTTTGTGTTGGAAGTGGAACTGTAACTGCTCAGCTTTCACACCAAGCTTCTAGATTCTCTGGACTCCATAGACAGCTGCCACATAACTGTGTCTGGCTTTTAGGATGTTAAAAGATCAATGAGCAGATTTTCAGTGTTCTTGGCAGGCCTTAAAATAAAGTAGCAGGATGGATGTGCTACTCTATTGCAAAGGTTATGTCTTGGGTTGGAAGAAGCTGTAGCCTGCATGTGTAGTCTATGTACTGAAGTGACAATCAGTGCTTTGCCTTCTGCTTTGATTACTAGCATATTTAAACTAATTATGTTATAACACAGCCTGCATCTACCCAGCATGGTAATGAGACCATCCAAAGGCACAGAACAAATTAGGAGGAAGAAGAAACAGCTGCTGGAGTGGCCAAGAAATTAGGCCTTTTGGGTCTGTTTACTTTAAAATTTAAGCAATATAAGTTGAATGCCAGTAAGATAAAATAGGTGTCTAGTAGCTAAAATGTCCTTACTTTTCAAAATTATTATAAATGAAAATGTAGTATCACTTAGATTGCTAGAATGACGAGTTCGTAATAATTCAGACACCTGAAGGCAAAGGCTGATTTAAAGTGTGGAACACATGGTTGTAAATGAAGACTTTTATACTCAGAGGCAGAAGAGGATTGTCATGATTAAAGAGTGGGTCTGGGGACAGACGGCCTGAGTTCAGATCCCAGCTCTGCCACTCATGAGTTTTACATCTGTTTGCCTCATTGTTTAGTTTATAAGATAGGTGCAATGATAATTTGTATCATATTAAAGATATTTCTCATATGCCTTTTGCTTTTGTACATACTTGGGCTTCTTCCACTATCAGCAGCAGAGATAATCATGTTTTACAACTGATAGACTTGCCCGGATACATCATTATACGAAGTGCATACTTTATGTGAGGATCAAGCTTGGTGTTGCACATTTTGTGAGTTTGGATAAATCTCTGATGACATGTATCTACAGCTATAGAATCATATTGAGTAATTCATTACCCTGAAAATCCTGTGGTAGCTGCTGTTATGAAATCTTGTATTTTCAGTTCATACTAACCAGTGATTGGTTAATGGTGTATGTGTCAGGGGGGAAGACTGCATTTGGAAGTCAGAAAGTGTTCCACCTCTCCTGTCCACTTCTACTATCCCCTGTGTCTTGATTCTCTTAGGAGCCCAGGTTCCTTATTTTTAAAGTGAGGCAGTTTGATCTAGGATATAAACTCTACAAGCCTTAGTCACTAAAAACGAGTGAGTCTTTTTTCGAGCTGGACTGTATTCTTTGTGTTTTCAGTTACGGTGATGTTTCAGGAAGTGCATGCAGCTTTAGTGAACTTCACCAGCCTCTGGGGTATACATGTTTTATCAGGTCCTACTATGAAGGGTGAAGACGAATACTCAACCTAGTCTCATGAGCGAGATGGAATGCTAGGCTCTGTCCTGAGCACATAGATGAGCTCACTGTTCTGTGTTTGTGATGCTCAGGCTCTTGGTGCACTGCAAGCATTTCTAAAACACGTTTGTGTGCATTGTCTCTTGCCCTCAGTTGAGCTCTGAGATAGGACAGCGAGTTATATGAACACCACTTGATAAAGTAGTGTTAACACTCTTCATGAATTCAGTGAAGGAAGGGAAAGGAAAGGGTGTGGTAAGAGCACCTACTTCATTTGATGTGATCAGTATTCAGCATAGATTGTCACATAAACAGCCTATATCCTGGTGAAAGGGTTTTTTAGAAAGACAGTTGTGCTTTTCTCCTTCCTTGTCTGTAGCAGTCTGGGTGTCTGTTGGAGTACAGTCTCTGACTATACAGAGTGTCTTAGAGAAGAGAATTAGTCATGTGCCTAGTCCATGGAGGAGACTCTCACAATGCACTGTGTCACCAGATCTCTAGTAGCTGTTGTTTCCCTTGAATGCCTTGCAGCAGTCTTGGGTGCAGTGGCCCTGGGTGCAGACATGGCTGTGAAACCATCACCAGAGCTAATCAACAAGGCTTGAACCATTGGTAAAGTTGTCAGCAGTAAACCTCAGTTGCCATTCCTGAAGCTTGTTGCATGGCTTTGGAGTCAGGAGTAGTTGGGTAAAGGATAAGGCTGGCACTACAAATTACCATGCATTGGAATTAACAATCTAACAAAAGTTTTGTTTTTCTCTGAACAGTGGTGGAATGTTGTCACCGGGGAGTCCTCACAGACCTTCTACACAAATGGAACAAATCTCAAGAAAATACATGTGTCCCCTGACTTCAGAACATATGTGACTGTTGATAATCTTGGTATTTTATACATTTTACAGGTTTTAGAGTAAAATGGCTAAGCATTAATGTAGTTCAGCTTCTTAATTTTGAATTGGAAAAAAATTGAAGCTCTGTACATCAACTTTTTATAAAGCTGTGAAATGTACTGCGGTATTGCATCCATTGCCAAGTGTTTATGGCTGTGTAAATAATGTTAGTATAGGTGGATGAATAGTAGTGTGTCTTCACAAGTGAACACACCTTTACCCTAGTTTTTTATAGTCATCATTGTTACCAACAACTTGTCCTTAACATGCAAATGAAATGTAAATATATACTTTGTTACGCTATTGGTAATCTTCCTTGATGCATTCAAATTGGTTGGCAAAATGAATGAGAATCATTTGAAGGAATTCTATATGTTGATGCTATTGTCAGGCAGGCTATGCCTCAAGGAACTGGTGCCAGTTTTCTGAACCACACTTACCCCCAGGGGGTATGGTTTTCCAAACACAATCATGTTGCTTATTTGCACTCTTTAAATTTGCTTTAAAATATTGTGGTTTTGTGCACAGTCTGCAACATCTGTTTTGATAACTCAGTGAGTGTTGGATTTCAACAGTTCTTTCTATGAGCTAAAGTCATGTGCTAGAGAGATTTCTCTCTGTCGCCGATGATAGCCCTGTGTGTAGCTGGATTCTGTGTCTGAACTGGGCACCACACTGCACTCTTTCAGTTTGTTTTTTTGTTTTTTTTTTTTTAAGACAGGGTTGCTCTGTGTATCCCAGGCTGTCCTGGAACTTGCTATGTAGACCAGGCTGGCCTCAACTCAGAGATTCACCTGCCTCTGCTTCCCAAGTGCTGGGATTGAAGGTGTGCACCACCACTGCCTGGCTCTCTCAGTTTTTTACTTAAGTAAGCTTGACCCCATTTTAGCCTCTGCTCCAGTCAGGTGTTAGTAAGTCAGTGGTGGAGAAATAGTCCTACATATCTCTCCTTTAAAGTGTTTACTTTCAGGTAAGTGTTCATCAGTGACTTTCCAGAGTCATAAAGAGCCCCTGTCCCAAGGCCCCCAACCCACATTTCCTTGAGAAACAGTGATTATGATCCTCCTGCATCAGACTCCTAAGTATCCGAGAGAGATGGCTTTTGATGCAGAAAACACTTTGCAACATCAGTAATTCATTTTGATTTTAACCTCCTTTTAGGATCTTTAGTTGAAACTTAAATTTAATCACTTTCCCCTGAAATATTATTAAGGACAATAGAGACAAATTAGTAGTAGATGTAGTTTTCATATAAAAAATAAAATGTCTTCATATTTGCAATGGGAATTATCGAGTGTTGGCATTAATAGCAGATAGTCAGTGAGAGCTGTTTTTGTTGCTGGTGCATATTGCTAGTGGTAGTGGGCAGAGGGAATAAACCACTCATTTATTTTAGTTTTTATTTCTTTACGGTGCTGAATAGTGAAACCAGGGCCTTGCACAGGCTGCACAAGCACTCTACCACTGGGCTGTACTCCCAGCCCTTAGCTGGATTTTAGATTAGATATTCCTCCATGGCATTTGTCGGAGCTATACAGAGTGAACAAAATCTTGTATAGTGTTAAGGAAGTTTTATTTTTTTTAACCTTTTTTTTTTTTTTTTTTGGTTAGTTTGAGGAACATAGTTTACATACTGTGATTTAAGCAAATGTGATGAAGTGAAAAATCTTATTTTTTTTAAGAATAAATATTTGAATACTATGTCTTGCTTAAAAAGTTGCTGAGAACAAACTTTGTTTTTTTCAGATAACATTAGTGGCTTATCAGTTCTGTAGCTGGGATATGAAGTAACACAGTAAACATCAGTTTTAAAAAGTCTTGGTTTTGTCTCACAAATAAAGTGGAGGAAAAGACAAAGTCACACGATGGAAGAGACGGCTGTAGCTTTTATCACAGCTCTTGGGGCTGACAGAGAAGCCTCAGCTTGTGCCTGCGCATGAGCGCTTTCCTTGCTGTCCTTTTCATGTGAGAAATTACAGTGGATTTTATATATGTGAAGGTTTTGTATCATTTGTTTTATGTGTTCTGAAGACTTTTTGTATTTGTAACTTACATATGCTTTTATTTTATTTTTTATTTTTGCCTTGGAATACTGTTTAAACATGAATTTTAACAACAATAAAATTCCTGAAAAATCTTTTGAAACACATTTTGGTTTCAGACTTCTTGCTTGCCTTTTTTTTTTTTTCCCTTCCTGTTGTTAGGGGACTGGTAAAACAGCCTTCAGGAGTGGGCTGGGGAGATGAGCGCAGCCATTTAAACATGAGGAGTTGTGTTTGACTTTCAATTCCCACACAGAAAAGCCTCTCAGCACTGGGGAGGCAAAGAAAGGAAGATACCTAGGACTTCTGATTAGCCAGTGCAGCTGACTTGATACCTTCCAGGCTGATAGACACTGTCTCCAAAAAGGCTGAAAGCAATCAAGAACAACATCTGATACTGGTCTCAGGCTTCCACACACACGACACACCTACATATACACGTGCGCGCGCACACACACACACACGCACGCACACACGCACGCACACACGCACCCGTCCTGCTTGATGTAAATTGCTTAAGTGTGCTTTTCTTGAAATGTCTCTATTTTTCCATCAGTTTTAAAAGACAGCTCTACTGGATACTGCAATCTTGGTTGGAAGTATTTTTCTTCCATGCTAGCCTGGCTTTTCAGAGTTGTTTGCTTGCTTTGAGAGGTGATCTTATTCTGATCTGGTTTCCTGTGTGAGTTGTTTTCTCTCACAGCAGTTCATATTCTTTTTTTGTTCTCTTAGCATCTTTAATGTGTCGAGGAGAGGTTCTTCTGTGGTCATATCTTTTTAGAGTTCTGAATGTCTTTTGAGCTTGAATATCATTTCTTTCCTTAGAATTGTGGCATTTTCTATATATAAAATATATGTTTTAAATACATTACTTTGTTTTCTTTTATTTATTTATTTTTAAAATGATTTTATTTTTATCAATTACAGTTTATTCACTTTGTAGCCCAGCTGTAACACCCTCCCCCATCCCCTCACAATCTCACCCTCCCTCCCTCTTCTTCTCCCATGCCCCTCCCCCAGTCCAATGATAGGGGAGGTCCTCTTCCCCTTCCATCTGACTCTAGTCTATCAGGTCTCATCAGGACTGGCTGTATTGTCTTCCTCTGTGGCCTGGTAAGGCTGCTCCCCCCTCAGGAGGAGGTGATCAGAGTACCAGCCCATGAGTTCATGTCAGAGACCATCCCTGTTCCTATTATTGGGAAACCCTCTTAGACACTGAGCTGCCATGGTTATTTTATTATGTATACAGTGTTCTGCCTGCATGTATGCCTGCAAGCCAGAAGAGGTTATCAGATATCATTATTGATGGTTATAGGTCACCATGTGGTTGCTGGGAAATTGAACTTAGGACCTCTAGAAGAACAGCCAGTGCTTTTAACCTCTGAGCCATCTCTTCAGCTTTTAATTTCAACTTTTAAAATTTGCTTTTAATTTCAACTTTTACTCCATGTATTCTTAGGGTGGTCTCTTGGTCATATTCTAGAATTGTTGGAAATTGTGGTTATATTTGTTTATTATATTGTACATAATACTGTGTTTTATAAGGACATTTTCATACAAGTATTCAATGTATATTGAGCATATTTAGTCCAAACTGCTTGCCCTACCCTTTCGTACTCCTGTTCTCTCATGTTGGTCCCCTTTATCCTCTTACAAAGTTTCTCTTCTAGAACTTTTACTACATACATGATTTGTATATGTGCATTTACATATATTCACATAGCAACTATATAATATTTACATACATAGATATGTAAAACCACATATACATACATATGTATATGTGTGTATATGTATGTATATATGTGTATATGTATGTATGTATGTATGTATGTTTGTATCAAAAATGAGAGAAAACATCCATTTGTCCTGAGACTGACTTAATTAACTTAGTGTGATTATTTCCTGGTGCATAGGTTTTTCTATAAACATAATTTTCTTCTTTGGTACTGAGAAGAATTCCATTGTGTATGCATATCAGCATTTTCTTTATCCACTCTGTTTTTGGACACCTAGGTTGGGTCCATCACTTACCTACTACTTCAGTTTTTTGAGAAACTTCCATAGTGGTTGGTGTACTTTGTGTGCCCTTCAGCCGTGTATGAAGTTTCCATTTGTCCCCATTCTCAGCAGGATGTGTTTGTTTGTTTTGTTTTGTTTGAGGCTAGGGTCTCACTAGGTAGCCCTGGAATTAGCTGTGTAGTCTAGGCTGATCTTAAACTCATGAAGATTTACCTGCCCCTGCCTCCCAAGTGCTGGAACTAAACGTGTGTGCCATCACACCTGGTGTGCTGTTTGTAGAATTTCTTTATAACTTGTTCTGTCTGGGATGAGATGGAATCTCGTAGTTTGAATTCTAACTTCTCTGATGGCTAGTGAGGCTGTGTCCCTGATCTGAAGGTGGTAATTCCTGGGAGAACAGAGCTGATAAATGAGGCTGACTGAAGTTTTCAGAGCATTGCACGATTTGTACTCCGAGGGTTAAGAAGAGTCACATGAGTAAACTATATAATCACCAGCCACACGTGGCAAAAACAGGAGCCAAATAAACAAAAACAATAGCTGTAATGAATATCTGAAGTAAACTTTGTCATATCGGCTATACCTGGGTGGGGCACGAGAGCACACTTCATGAACAATTCTGTGTTTTTGAGGAAACAGGCCACAAGAACTTGTTTTCTTGTATCTTTCTCATAAGCACTCAGAATTCTCACACAACTCCATTCTTGGACTGTGTTCTGACAAGTTTGAACATTTTTGTATGTTTATTGGTTGTATTTCGTCCTCTGAAAACTTCATTTCATTAGACTATTTACTCTCTTTATTGAATGGGAATTATTCCATGATTTCTTTCTCCTGTTCACTTCTCATGAATGTTTGTTATTTGTGTAGAGAAAGGCTACTGATCTTTGTGTTAATCTTGTATTCTTTCATTTTGCTGAAGATATTTATTAGATACAAGAATTTTCTGGTGAGCATTGAGGTGTACGCATGTGATTCCAGTACTGAGGGAGGCAGAGGCAGGCACATCCTTGTGAATTCGAGGCCAGCCTGGTCTACAAAGCAAGTTCAGGACAGCAAGGGCTACACAAAGAAACCCTGTCTTGAAAACCAAACCAAAACAAACATACAAAAAACAACACAAAAATTTTCATCTAGTGAAATTATTTCATCTCCAAATATGAGTGCTTTGACTTCTTTTTCCATTTATATCCCTTTTATTTCATTTTCGTGTCTTATTGCTCCAGCTAAGCCTTCAAGCACCACAATGAATAAGAATGGAGAGAGTGGACACCCTTGTTTTGCTTCTGATTTTATTAGATATACTTTGGGTGTTTTTCTCATTCAATGTAATATCAGTAACATGTTTTACTATGTTGAGATCTGGTCCCTCTACTCCTACCCAGGGCATTTATCATGAAGAAAGATTTTGGATTTCACCAAATGCCTGTCCTGAATGTATTGAAGTGGTTGTATGATTTTTATCTTTCTTACCCCACTTTGTGTTTCCTTTAAAAATAATTTCAGTATTATTTTGACTTACGTTTTTTATTAAGTAAGTTTGTTCTTTGTTGATTTCAAATGTGTATATATGCATTCTGAATTCTGATCTCATTCTCCACTTTTTCT